GAGTTGTTGAGAGGAAAAACAGAACTTTAAAAGAAATGGTGAATGCTATGTTGATTAGTTTTGGAGCATCTTTTAATTTGTGGGGGGAAGCGATGCTTTCAGCTTGTTGCATACAAAACAGAATTCCTTTTTAGAAAACAGGCAAAACACCATATGAACTTTGGAAATGTCATGTTCCTAACTTGAAATATTTTAAAGTGTGGGGGTGTTTTGCTAAAGTCCTAATTCCTGAACCTAAAAGGAAAAGGTTAGGACCCAGGACTATTGATTGTATGTTTGTAGGTTATGCTCAGAATAGTGCTGCTTATAGATTCATGGTAATAAAGCACGAGGTTGGTTTGTATGATGCAAACACAATCATTGAATCTAAAAACGCAGATTTTTTTGAGAATGTTTTTCCTAAGAAAATCAATTGTGAAAAAGCTTTACCTCAAAATAAAACTCGTTGGAATTCTTCTGAAAGTTCAGAGTTAGAAATAAGGAGAAGTAAGAGAGTTAGAAAGGCCAAAAGTTTTGGTGATGATTACTATATCTTTCTTACAGAGAATGATCCTCAGACTTATGAGGAAGCAATGATTTCTCGAGATGCATCCCTTTGGAAAGAGGCAGTAAATAATGAAATTGATTCCATTATGAGTAATCATACATGGGAAGTAGTTAATTTGCCTCCAGGAACTAAACCAATAAGGTGCAAATGGATTTTTAAAAAGAAATTAAAGACCGATGGATCAATTGGTAAATACAAGGCAAGGTTGGTTGCCAAAGGTTATACACAAAAGAAAGATATAGATTATTTTGACACTTATGCTCCTGTAACAAGAATAGCATCAATTAGAGTGTTAATTGTTTTAGCTGCAATTTACAAATTACATATACATCAAATGGATGTAAAGACAGCTTTTCTTAATGGAGACCTGGATGAAGAAATTTATATGAAACAACCAGAGGGTTGTCTTATCCCAGGTAATAAGCATAAAGTGTGCAAACTAGTAAAGTCTCTTTATGGACTTAAACAAGCACCAAAACAATGGCATGAGAAGTTTGACCAAGTGTTAGTCTCAAATGGGTATACAATTAATGATTCAGATAAATGTGTATATTCTAAATCATTTGAAGACAACACTGATGTGATAATATGTCTCTATGTTGATGACATGTTAATATTTAGTGCTAATATGGATGTGATAATTAAGACTAAAAAGTTTCTTGCCTCAAATTTTGATATGAAAGATATGGGAGAGGCAAATGTTATTCTTGGGATTACAATTATTAAGATAAATGATGGTCTTAAGTTATCACAACAACACTATGTTGAAAATTTCTTAAGAAAATTTGGGTATTTAAAAAGTAAACTCGTCTCAACTCCTTATGATGGAAATACTCAACTCAAGAAAAATACACAACACAGTGTGAGTCAAAATAGATATGCCCAAATCATTGCTAGTCTTATGTACTTAATGAATAGTACAAGGTCTGATATTGCTTATGTTGTCACTAGATTGAGTAGGTATACTCATAATCCTGATAAGAGTCATTGGATAGCATTAGATAGAGTTGCTAGATATTTGAAGGGCACCATTGATTATGGGCTAATGTTTGGAAGTACACCTGTATTAGAAGGATATTCCGATGCCAATTGGATATCAGATTCAGATGAAATAAAATCCACAAGTGGTTATATCTTTACACTTGGTGGAGGTGTTGTGTCATGGAAGTCTTCCAAACAAACTTGCATAGCTCGGTCTACCATGGAGTTTGAGCTTATCGCCTTAGAAAAGACATGTTCTGAGGCCGAGTGGTTAAGGAATTTCTTTGCAGATCTTCCCATTGAAACTCACCCTCCTGTTTCAGTATCAATCCATTGTGATTGTCAGGCCGCAATAGCGAGAGCAAAGAGCAAAATTTATAATGCGAAAAGCAGACATATCCGGATAAGACATACCATTATAAAGCATCTGCTAGAATCTAGGGTAGTGAGCCTAGATTTTATGAAGTCAGAGTTAAATTTGGCCGATCCTCTGACTAAACCACTAAGTAAGAGGCTAGTAGAATACACGTCGAGGGGGATGGGACTTATGCCTAAAGCATAAGGCAAGAGTGATGGTAACCCTACCTATGTGATTGGAGATCCCAAGAAGTAGGTTCATAAGGTAATAACAAGTCACTTGTTGTCTTGATAAGTATTATCGAATTTTATATAGAAAGTCCTCCCTATGGCGAGATAATATTGATTACAGTGAATAATGTTGAATAAAATTAATCTTAATGAAATCCATAGCCAATATAAATTGTGGTGTGCAAACCTGCAATTCACACCTTATGGAGGTTCACCTATGTGAGTGTGGAATTAGGTCGATTCCTATGAGAGCTTAGGCAGACATCTCTAGAGCACTCATGAAATCCAGGCTAGCACAGGGCCATAAAGTGCTAAACCGCAGAACAATATACAATATTGAGAATTTAGTGTGAGGAACTAATCCTCTGAATTACATAAAGAAATTTTTGGTTCATAGAAACTTAGTTTCACCAAATTTCTGTAACTCACGTTTAGTTACTCAATGATTGGTTCATAGTCTGAAAGACACCAACTCATAAACATTAAATTCTATAATTAGTGGTGATTGGTTATTTTGAAATATGTGAGGGATTGTGATAAAAGCTGTTGTTATGGTATTTCAAAATACCAAATTTTAATTGCTTTTGGACTGTTATGTGTTAAAAGCAATTGAATATTGCTTTTTTGGACTGTTACGTATTAAAAGCAATTGAATTGTTCCAAGTTATTGCAATTCAAATGAGCAGTTATGCTTTTAAAAGCAATTGATTGACTTCGGTTACAGCAAGGGAAAACGGGCAGATTTTTAAGTATAAAAAGGGGGTGGTTTTCTCATTTGAAACACACAATTTTTCACTTGAAAAATCCTTGTTTTCCTCTGTGTTTTTTTTTTTTTTTTTTTTAACTTTCCAGCTCTTCTTCACCACTGTTACTTTTCATTATATTGTTCTAAATCTCTATTAGAGTGTGCACTCTAAAAGGAGATTCGTCATTGTATCCTGGAAGTCAATCTGCTGTTGAGCCTTTTTGCACCACGAAGATTCTTCCAGTAGGGGCGGAATTCTGATTTTAAGGACAGTGCTTTTGCACGCCTTGACCCTGCTGTTCTTATTGTTGTTTTCCTGCTGTCCTCTTACTGTTTTCCTGCTGTGTCACTGCTATTCTTTTGCTATTTTGCTGTTGTCTCTCTATTGTTTTTCCTGCGGTTCACTTGACATTTTCCTGTTGTTTCACTGTTGTTCTTCTGCGGTTTCATTAATGTTCTTTCACTGGTTTGCTGCTGCTGTTTCGCTGCCAATTTTTGTATTAAAATCCAACATTGACAGCAGCGGAGAAGGTTGTGGTTGGTCGGCGGTGGGAGATATTTTCCAATTTTAGGGGGAGGGAAATCAATTTCTGATTTAGTGTTCGTCTCTCGAAATTTTTTGATATATAATTTTGGAGGGAAACAAGGAACTGACGTGGCGAGTGAGTGACATGGCGGATGAGATGGCATCTGCCACATCAACTGCCATGTCAATTTGTAAGGCTGTTAGTAAGAATGGATAGCATTACTGTAATAACACAAGTCATACTCAAAAATAAATAAATAAATAAATAGGGACTCGATTGTGAAATTATAAACAAACGAATCTTGAAACTTCACCTTTAGGTATATCAAGTGATAGGGCGAGTATCGGGATAGAGTATCACAATGGTGGGATCAGTACAATAAGTGATCATAGTAATTAAAAATTAATCAAAATGTGTGTAAACCCAAACACTCTCTTGGAAAAAAGAATTGTGAAACTTTAAAAAGAGTTAAAACTCAACAACAACAAAGAATTGTGGAACTTAAAAAAAAGGGTTAAAAGTTAAAACTCAACAACAACAACAAAAGGGATTGGACTGCGAGATTTATGAAAAAAAAAAAAAACAAAAAAGGAGAAATAGGGATTGGATGGTGAAATTAAAAACAAACGGATTGAGTAATTTAAAAAAAAGGACGAATTGTGAATTTTACAAAATGAAGGACGAAATGTGAAATTTAAAAAAAAAAAAAAAAAAAAGGGATTGGATTTCAAAAACTTGAAAAATGGCGTCGCCCGACTCGAACCGGAGACCTTCAGTGTGTTAGACTGACGTGATAACCAACTACACACGACACCTTATGTTTTAAGCACGTGAAAGTTACACTATAAAATATGTGTATTAATTTTAACCGTTACCGACTTGTAAACAAGAGTATCGGCTCGATAAGAATACTAGCTAACTTTATGTTTACACATATGACATAACGGAATAACTCTTAATTAATTATAATAAATTTACTTAAGGTCAATAAGATGACTTATGGTAATATACAGTGAATAAGAATGAAGTTTTTTTAATGTAATGAAACTGGTAAATCGCATATGCAGATGAAACGCACTTTCGTTTATCACTCTTAAAGTTTGCTTAAAATAGTATTACCTGTAACATTAGCAATGAACTTTCTGAAAACGATTACCAAAATCATCCGTTACGAGCCAATCCATTTAGCTCAACCGCAAAATAAAGATGGATACCACATAACAGGAAATTAAAAATACAATAAATTTTAAAATCATTGGCGCCAACAACACAACAAATACGAGGTCGTTATAACTGGCGGCCTAAGAAAGCGTAGCCGTTTAATTCGTTCCATCAAAATTAAGCAATAAGGCACGTTGTTTATTTTACAGTACATGTAGACCGTACAAGTGTTGGTTCATTCCTGTTTTTTCGCGCTCTCAATCTCTCATAACGGGATGCCACAATCGTCTTTACTTCCTTTCCTTTCATCTCTTCATTGAAAAACACTTCTGCTTTCTTTTTTTTTTTCACTTTCTCACAACAAATAATTGCTCTCAGTTTGTTTTCTTTTTCTTTTTCTTTTCTTTTTTCTTCGTTTTCCTTTTTTTTTTCCTTTTTTTTTTTTTTTTTTTTTAATTTTGGTTTGGTTTAGGTTGAGGAGCATAATGCTATTGGAGCATTGGGCGGGGCTGGGTATAGAGTGAGAATGAAGGAGCTGAGTGGTGTGAGGAGAATTGGGGTTATGAAAAGATCAGGTTCATTGCCTCTGAGAAACGACATTGTAGTCGGATGCCGAATCCAATTGAGATCGGCATTCGATTCCTTTTTCATTACCTCAGAACACCAAAGTCTTCGTTTCGTTCTTATCGGCGTCGTTCTTTGATAGGTGAAATCCAAAATTTAAAAAAGAAATATATTAAACAGATTATTTTCCTTGTCTTTTTGGTGGCAGTTTGGTTCTTATCAGGAATGTTCGAGAGAGTAGATTCCTCTGGAGGCGACTCTGATTTTGTTGAAAAAGATCCCACTGGTCGTTACGCTAGGGTATGCAACTATTGCGTTGTTTTTTTTTTTTTTTTTTTTTTTTTTCAAATACGAAAAAAGAATGATTCAACTGTTCAAGCAGAGTCCCAGCAGAAATTTCTGTTAGGGAGGCGATTGAAGGATAGTAAGCTGAAAAACGAAAATAATAAAGTGGAAATTTTAGTTATTAATTTGTATTACTTTCATTTAATCCATTGCTGATTTTGATGTATGTAGAATGTGAGATTTAGACGCCCTAAACATAAATATCAGTATAATACTGAAAAGCCGAAACCAAAATTTTTGAATATCAATATCTGTAGGAGTGTGTGCCAGCACCTCTGCTATATCATTTACAGTATCAAAATATTGCAAAAGTTCAACCTATTTTAGAACTGATGTTATCAGGATCTCTTGATGTTGTATAAATTAATTAATATGATTTTTTAGTCAGTGATTTAACAAATTGTATTCGGAAGATTTAACTTATATAAAACAGACGCTGTTGTAACTTTTTAATCACACATCAAACACAAGCATTTCCATAATGCAAGGGTCTTGGGGCAAGTCTTCATTCTGGCCCTTACGTAGCTCCGTTTTCCGGTTCAAATAGCAAATAAAGGCGACTTCATGTTAAGGTTATGCCATTGAACTTGAAAAGGGAACTATGTGTCTTGTTTGGCCTTGAATCTTTTTTTTTTTTTGTTTTTTGTTTTTTGTTTTTTTTTTTTGTTTTTTGGTTAGAGATGGGAACTCCTTATTGATTTTTTCTTTTCTTTTCCTTTGTTCTTTTTCTAACAGTATGATGAGGTCTTGGGCAAGGGTGCTTTTAAGACTGTGTACGCTTTCCAACCTTATCTTCCACTCTCTCTCTCTCGGTCTCTATTTTGATCTGCGCATTAAGGATAGTTCTTCTTTTACTTGGTTGTATCATTTGCAGTTACAAGGCATTTGATGAAGTTGATGGTATAGAAGTTGCCTGGAGCCGCATGAAGATCGATGATGTTCTGCAGTCTCCAGAAGATTTGGAGAAGTTGTATTCGGAGGTTCATTTGCTTAAATCGTTAAAGCAAGAAAACATCATTAAGTTCTACAAGTCATGGGTGGATGACAAAAAGAGAACTGTTAACATGATCACTGAGCTCTTCACATCTGGGAATCTGAGGCAGTATGTTTTCTTGGTTGTTTCCCAATCTTTTCTTCTTATTATGTTCTGAGCTTTTGAAGTGATTGCTTACATTTTGGTTGTTAGATATCGTAAAAAGCATAAGAATGTTGATATGAAGGTCATAAAGAACTGGGCCAGGCAGATTCTCAGTGGTTTAGTCTATCTACACAGTCACAATCCACCTATTATTCACAGAGACTTAAAATGTGACAATATTTTTGTTAACGGCAATCATGGAGAGCTTAAAATTGGAGACCTTGGGTTGGCAACCATCATGCAGCAACCTACCGCCAAAAGTGTTATTGGTAAAATATTTATTCTTCAAATGCTATGTTTTAGATTAAATTGAATTAATGAGAAATGAATTTTTTTTTCCCTTCTTTATCTAGGAACTCCTGAATTCATGGCTCCAGAGCTTTACGAAGAAGAATATAATGAACTCGTTGACATATATTCTTTTGGGATGTGTGTAATAGAAATGGTTACAATTGAGTATCCATATAGCGAATGCAAAAATCCAGCTCAAATTTATAAAAAGGTTACCTCTGTAAGTTAACCAATCATCACTCAACAATGTATGGGTTCTTTTTTGTTGAAATTCTTTTCTGTGATAGCTTAATTTAAATTTTAATCAATTCTTTTGCATTTTGTTTCAGGGCATTAAACCTGCTTCCCTTGCTAAGGTGACTGATCCCCAAGTTAGGGAGTTTATTGAGAAATGTCTCGTTCCAGCCTCTGAGAGATTGTCAGCAAAAGATCTTCTGAAAGACCCCTTCCTTAAAGTTGAGAATCCAAAGGAACCCACCCGTGACCCTTTGCAGTTACCTAACCAAGACCTGAAATTGATTAATTTACCCAAGTCTGGTCCTTTATCCATGGATTTAGACCCCGAGTATAAGCAGCTCTCTTTAAGCACATTTACTGATAGCAACCATGGAAGTCCACATTCTCCAGTTTTGGAATATCAAAGGACCCATAGGAACAATGAGTTTAGGTTGAGTGGGACGAAAAATGATGACACCTCAATTTCATTGACCTTACGTATTGCCGACTTGTTTGGTATGTGATTTTGCCTATTGAAATGTTTGTTACTTATTCTTGTTTCATAACTTATGAAATGTTTTGTTTAAGTTAGGTCGAGTGAGGAATATACATTTCCTCTTCTATCTTGATAGTGATACTGCACTCTCAGTGGCGGGTGAGATGGTTGAACATCTAGAGTTGGCAGATCATGATGTGGCCTTCATAGCTGAATTTATTGACTATTTGATAATGAAACTTTTGCCTAGTTGGAAGCCTTCATCAGGTTACTCGGTTGGAGCAGCAATAAGTCTCAATGGTGGGTCCCCAGTCCAAGGAAATGGCAAAACTTCAATGACAACGCTCCGGGATACAACGCAAACTGGTGCTCCTTTTGAGTTTGCGGTGGAGCAAGATGTTTCTGGACATGGCACAAATCCTCGAGATCTTATTCCAGCCCAAGGAGAACGCATGTTTGATGGTGACTATCATTCTTCTCCCAGTTTGATTAATTTTGAAGATCAAGAATCACAAGCATCAATTAGTTCAGATATCCTTGTTGAAGGTGCTTCTGCCAAAAATGATAGATCAGCATCCGAACCTGCTGATTATTATGTTGGTGGAAGCTGTAAAGACTTAAACGGTTACGCCTTCGAATTAGACCTTGGAGATTTCTATTATGATCATTGTAAATTGCAAAGATACAATAGCGATGCTGGAGAAGGTACCTTCCTGAATGAATTTATGAAAAATTCAGAACTATCATTCCCTAACTTAAGTGGAGTATTGAGCATTACAAGCAGTTGTTCATCTCTGTGTTTGGCTGACAAAGATTACGATGAGCTAAAGATGGAAATGAATGCAGTTGTGGCTCAATATCAGCACTGGTTTGAAGAACTTTTTAAGATGAGGGAAGAAGCATTGGAGGCTGCCAAAAAGAGATGGATGGCAAAGAAGAAACTGACTGTAAATTAATTAAAAGCATTTGACAGAACGTATATCATTTCATTGATGTTCATATTGTCCATATTTTTTTTTTAACTTCCACCAGCTGTGATAATAACCACGATCTCCTATATGGGATTTCATGTCATTTGCTGCATTTTGTGGACGGCAAGCTTAGTTTTCAATTGAACTTGCATGTAGATAACTTAAATTTCTGGAAATTAAACAAACTAATGCCTAGGATTTTTTTATTTTATTTTTATTATTATTTCTCATTCTTGGTCTAGACCAGTGATAAGTTTGCTTTTCACATAATAAAATTTCATAAATTATTTGATATAAAATTCTTCTAAACAAGATCCAGATGTGCCTCTCTGTTTGCTTGATGAAGTCCTATACTGGCTTTCAACGCATTATATTGAAAACGATCAGCAGCCTTTATGTGAGTATGGACGAGCAGCTTTCATAAGCATATGCCTCACGGCTCAACCTTGCATCCCCAGCTCATTCATATGGGAGGTGATCGGTGATAGAGCGGTGAGATTCTGTATCTCTGGGTCTTCTTGTTGAGGAAAAAATGTTATGCATCTATTTTTCAATCCTGGAAAGAATGGACCGAAGATTGTCTTGGGTTGAACCCGTATTTGTAAAATCTTTTAAAACAAAATCAAATGAAGTCTTACTATAACTAATCAATCAGATCCAGGCCATATTACTACAAATTGAAGCATAAACTAAATTTGATTGCTATAAACTTTACTGGGGTTTGGCTATATGTCCAAACCCCAATAAATTAGAACCCTTTAATTGGTAGCAAAAATTCATTGGAATCGATACTTAGATACTCCAATGAACCATTTTTTATTAAGAAAATAAAAGAAAGGGTACAAATAAGAAACATTCAGTCTTCTTTACTTGTTTCCACATTTCTCATTCATTCCACCTGTGTTTACAATTTTTATTTGCACACATGTAAAATATTGTCATCGGCTCATCAGCTGATCGCGTCTGGAGTTCATGGTAAACAGCCTTCCCAAATTTGCAATTAGGGCATGTTACTGCCAAAAAAAAAAAAAAAAGGAAAAAGGGAGCAAAATGAATCAAATGATCCACAAACAACAACAAAATTGAGAAGACCAAGTTTTGGAATTAAATCTACAATCTTCTAATGAAATAAAACAATAGTAACCACCACTTAAAACACGAACTCTGAACTCCAGAACAAATGTCATTTACCCAGTTCACTGGTTATCACATAAAAATCTAAGCACTATAATCCCAACTGTTAATTTTTTTGGGTTAATGGCTATTCAAATATTATATGGCCTAAGATAACATAACTCAAGGTCAATAGAATTCCATTTCTCTAATGATCATTGGATCAATCTATTTCTATATAGAGCCAAAAATTGGTGTCGCGTACATATATATATGAATGAGCCTTTTCTTTTCCCTCTTTTTCTGGGGTAATGAGTATATGAACTTCACAATTCACATGAAGCCTTTCTCTTTAATTTCTCACAGCAAGTGCAAAAGAAATGACTGGTAATTTTGGAATTCCTACTGGCCACCAACCCATATGCACTACCAATAATAAAATTGGACACCGAAATTCAAACAAAAATATCAATGATCATGAATGAATCAAAATTGTAAAATATATAAGAACCGAGTATCAATAAAAAAACACAGAAACTTTAACATAGAAAGATGGTAACTACAAAAGGCAAACAGGTTAAACCCAGAAAATAGTAAATAAAAATCGAAATGGAGAACCGAAAACTCACCTTCAGTTTGGGGGCCATCCATCATGGCATCTTGTGTGAAAATTGGTTGAATTTCTTTCTTAACCAAACGTTGTTTTCTCTTGATTTTAACCTTGATAATATAAAGGCCATACAAACTAGATCAACAAGAAGAAAAAGAAAGTGCAGCAGCAATTAGATATTACAAAAAGAGGACATACCCTACTCTCCATGTTACAGACGTACGGACAAGAAGGACAAGCGAATCTTGAAGGACGATCCAAGTGTGGCAACTCGTATTGCAACATCGAACCACAGGTAGGACAAAATTCCATCTCTTTATATCAATCTGCATTGTAATTTCTTAATATTAACACCTCCTATTATCAAAACCCAAGAAGTATCTTAATTAAAATCAATAAATACATAAGCTAAAAATCCAAGAACGATCTATATAAAGATCGTATACATACGTTATGAACCGTTTATGCGAAATGCTTTTTTCTGGGTTTAATTGACGGATTTGGTTGGGTTTTACTAAACCCTAATTTCGGCAACTTTCGTTCCAGGGAATACAAATTGAAGGAAAAACGAGTGGGTGTTTAAGAATTTGGTAACTAATCTAAAGCCCCTAACTTTTGAGGAATCTCCTTATGCGTACAAGTTTTGTGAATATTTATTTGCACCAAGTATTTTTATCATTAATTGTGCACCCCTTGTAATTATTTGATTTAGGGAAATAACAAGTGTAGGTAACGGCTTAAAACTTTTAAATTCACTAGTTAAAACCTTTTATCTGCCCACAATTTGACAGGTGTGTCTAAAATTTGAGAAAACGACAGGCCTACCCATTACTTAAAAGTTAAAACCTATATTCACTGTGGTGCTTCATATTCTCTGACCTTATAGGTTCCATCTCTTCATTCTATCTCCAGGTCCAACTGAAGCCTACTTAACTTTGAGAAGAAATTCACATAGAGCCACTTTTTTCTGACTCATATGACACCTTACCACTCACCAATGGCTCACCATAAGACCTGACCATGAAAGAGCACTTTAGGTCTAGTGCAAATTATCATTGCTCCCCAGGCTCTTATAATCTCCGTACCAAAACGTTTCAAAATAGTAACATTTACATCCTTACTGTTAAGCTCCGTTATTAATACCTGATAAGATCGTAGCGAAATACAAAGATACCCTTTTAATTCTTACTTCCCATCGGCAACGCTAAGGGAAAACAGTAGAAAAAATATAAAACTACAAAAAAAATTAATCTCCGGCAGAAAAGCACTCTTCCCTTTATCCCCATTCATCTCCATCCATGGCAGCAGCCCCAGCAATAATACCACCATTCAGACCATGTAAACACACAACAGTAAACCTCCTCAACCCACAACGCCACCGGGAAAACAAATTTCAAGATCCAATAAGAATATCAAAAAAACTACGCAGGATCAAAATCAAGAATGAGTAACTCTTGGCTGTACAAGGGAACGGCGCCGGTTGGGCTACGCGACGCCGCGCCGCTGTAGCGTTGCTGGGGCGCTCACAGGCTGCAATGGGCCTCGCTACCGCCACGGATGGACAGTACCTGGCCTCGCTGCGTTGCCGTGCCTTGTGCCATCTTCCGAATCAGGTACGCCCCCTATGTTTAGTAGCCGGCATGGCGACAAGTTTAGACGGGGGATGAACTATGAAATCTTTCTAGGTTTTGTTTAGGTTTTGTGTATCATTGTGCCATTATGAAATCTCAGAGGTACCCTTTCTTCGTTAACTATTATGTAACGTCAGTTAGCAATAAGGAGGAAAAATCACTTTTAGAAAATGTTTTGGACTAAGTGATACTTTTACAAACCCTGCAAGTGCCAACGTGTCATAACACATTGATCAAAGACATGTTGGGAGTTAGGTACTGATTTTTCTTCGATGTGTTTGAGTCCAATCAGCTAACTTCTTTTCAATCTAATAAATTAAATTATACATCAAAATTTCCATTTATTAGTACTCTTGGGAACTGTAAAATCATAAGATTTATTTATATTTATTGTTAACCTGTAAATCTGTTGGGGTTATTGTTATCTTTATAAAAGAGACTTGTTTGGGAAAAGGTTTCACCATTCTTTACGTTAGCGTAATTTTTTCAGTAAAAGTCTATCATTTTGTTAACATATTTTTGCGATTTGCTTAGATTTGTTGATGATATCACCTCACGGTTCCAAAAACGAAGAAAATTATCACAACTCTTCCATAATTTGGCCATTTCTTCTCACTATAAATGAAGTAATATTGCAGTGGAGGATCAGGAAGTGCTTCTTTGATGCTTTTCTCAATGCCGCAGGTATGGACTTCGATTTTTATTGTAGGCTATTTTCTCTTTTAAAATTCAACTTTTTTTTTTTCTAAAATAGCGAGTTACGTGAATGAATTTTAGCCTTGGAAGTTTGATGATGTTTAGAATCAGGATTCTGGAATGTTCACAATATTCTCTACCAGATTGTGGTTGTTTGTGCTGAAGCAAAGTGCCAAGTATTTAATAAAAGTAACCCGTCAAGTTCTTGGATTAGTCATTAGCGACTAAATTAAAGTCACTTATGATTGAATATTCAAAATCTTTTGCAAGCGGCATCAGTTAGTTTTGATTTCATGTTTTAATCATTTTCAATCAAGACGTGGAGCCTTATTTATTAATTTTTCATCTTTACACCAACCCCACCTCTTAAATTAGTGGATAATGATCCCAAAACCTTCTTTATCATATTTAAGATATGCCCTACCACTAAGCGAGCGAAAACGCACTACATGGACCCTTTATGTTAATTATTTATACAAATATTATCAAAGATCATGAGGATCAAAATTCGTTATTTAAGTATTGCAGCAGTACCATGGAAACTGGGAGCACTATGCCACTATCCCAGTTCAGTCAAGTTTTGTGATGCTTCAATACATGTTTCTCAATTGATTATGTTATCTCTTTATCTACTTTTCAACTTGCCATTATGCTTCGTGGCTGTTTATCTACTGCAAATTTCTCGTCAAAAATTTTAATGATTGACTTTCTGCTAAGAAATTAGATGGAAGTAGAAGAGAAACTTCGTTAGGTTAGAATTGGAAGTTTTCTTCACGCAAACAAATAAAAGATGATTTCTAATTTGGTCAGCATTTGGCAATCAAATGTCTTTGCAGTTGAGTTGTCTATATCAAGGTGGCTAATTGTGGCTTAAACTTATGAACCCTGAATCAAATTGCAGTGTGTTCATCTTTTTTGCTTCCTAAGAGAAGAAGATAGAACAGACTAAGAGAATGATTAAATGAGAAAATTACAATTTTTACATTGATTCTTGTCTTGCTTTCTAGTCATAAATATAAAAAGAACATAATTCATGGCTACTCTCCTCGATAAAATTAGAACACGAAATATTTTTCTCTTCTACTTCTTTCTCATTCCACAGAGGTTTGAAAAAGAAAAACGCCTCATCTTAGTTTTCCCCGTCAAATCTAACCTATAAACTCTATCACAATTCACAAAAGGTCAAATAATAATAATAATAAATGATAACCACCCTTTGTCTCTGATACATATACAAGCAAGCACAGAAGACAAAATAACATGACAAATCTCTAGCTATAAATGATGATAATTCATTGGTTTTTGTTTTCTTATTTCCTTTTAAGTACAGGTGTGAGTTTCTTGGTGGACAAAACTAAGAGGACTTAGTTCTCCAACCACAAACAAGGGCCGATTGTAATAATTCCTCATCAATAGTTTTTGTATAACATTTTATAATCTTGGATGTTGCTTTTTAAATTTTCTTTGTAATATCAGAATTGTTGCCAATCCTGTCTTCATCAACCCCTTTTGTTTATTCCATTTCTAAATCTGTTTGGAATCTTCACTCAATCACCATCTAAATTTTTTATCTTTTGATATAATATTTCTCAATCATTAATCAGACCCACAATGTTTATTGTTGTCATATTTTCAAGGAAACTTTGTTTTAAAGGTGATCTACAGTAATAATTCTTCCAGATTCATTGGAGGAGAACTTTGTTTGCTAGTTGATTACACTCAGAAAGCAATTGAAATCCGACTCTTTTTCTTTTGTTTGATTTTTATGCAGCAATAAAGTGATCAGCTTCAGCAATCCGGCATTGAGCATATTCCTTAATGGCAGATTTGTTGGGAATAGGATGTACACTGCTACAAGTGTCGGATCTTGTATCACTCATGATGACATTGTTTCTAAAGGATTTCAGGTATCTCAACTCACTGATCAGAATTTTCTGCAAATCTGTAGTATGGGCCTATGGGGTTTAACCATATCATCACACTTAGAATCAACACCTGATCTGATATCAATAAATAGGTCCATTTACTAAACTGATCAGTTTAGACATTTAATCTGATTGAAGGTTATGTTAATTGTTGAGGTTTTTTTTTTTATATAATCTTTAAAGCTCTGTTATCTTTGACTTTGAATCTTGTTGTTGGGCAGGCAACCAGTGGTAGAGCTTTTCTATTTAGCCACGCAATAAACATCGTTGAAGGGCGAAAGAGAACCGGCATCTAATAACTGTCTCCATACAGTTGCTGATGTATTCTGCTCTGATTGTGGAGAGACTTTGGGTTGGAAGTATGAACGCGCCTATGATGAATCACAAAGTACAGAGAGGCAAAGTTGTGCTTGAGAATTTCAAGATTGTCAAAGAAAATTGGTAGCCATTATCAGTGATCTTGAGTCTGTTCATGTTGGACCTGTACAGAAGAATTAATTCTTTTCAGTGATGGTTTTCATCACATATGGAAGTAAGGCATAAGTGCCATATGTTTGTGTGATAATATGAAATGATGCTGGTGTTTATAAATTCATTCGGATTGCACACGGAATGAATATTAGCTGACAGTTACTTTTTGCTTTCATGCTGAAAATGGATGGAGGAAAAGAATTCGTTCAAAGTCAGTTCTTATTAACATGATCTTTCAGTCCATTTTCTAGTATCGAGCTGGATTACATTATATATTACTTTCATTTAGTGTTTTCCAAGAAAAAATATCAAACATATGCAGTTTTCCACAAGTTTAATTCACAATAAACAAAGCTAATTTATTTTCCGTGGTTCTGGTTCTGTCTGATGGAAAGAGATATTAGGGGAAATAATGTCAAGCTAAAGAGGAATCGTATAATTAAAGAAAGAAAAAACCAATTTAGTAGGCATATCCTTCTGTAAATTATTCTTTCTAAAATTAAACTATTTTATTTTACTCCTTAATTACATCATGTAGATGAATCTACTAAAAGGTTGAAAGGGTAGTGTAACGAATCCCATACAAAAACGTATTGGAGAGATCCTAGGCTTTAAATGGGGAGTCTCTGTACTATATATCTTTGGGTGTGAAACTCTCAACCCGTAACAAGTGGCATCAGAGTAGACCAATCTTCTTTTGATGTCCGTCAACGCCACTGTGATTGTGGGTCCAACAGAGTGAAATAGTTGGGTAGCAAAGGGTCTGACGAGACGTCACAGGATTGGGTGGAAAAAATTATGAATTCACATCGTATTAGGGAGATTCTGAACTTATAAATAGGGAGTTTTCTCACCTAATAGATTGGCGTAAAACTCCAGCCCGTAACACTAGCCAACCATAGCTTACCTCTGAAATCAGAAACTGATTCATTCAAATTATTTGAATTTCACACACAGCTACTGCATCGCATGTGAAATTGTGAACTGACGGGGGTGGAAGTTATTAAATCCTCCCTGCCACACCAACTTGAAGGAAACTTCCTGGTGATTTACAACTTCTTGCTTTTTTCTTTTCTAGGAAATTAATTTCCTCTTTCAATTCCAAGGCCCATCCCGTCCACTGACCGTACATCACAATACACATAGTATATGATATAAAGGTCTACACGGTGATCACTTTATTCAATAAGAAATTTTATTTGACGAATCATCAATCCAAATAATTTAAATTACATGGAAATTGGTAGGGCGGTGTTCTCAAATTCATGAATTGACGATCATTAGTCAAAAGAAAGTGTTTTTTTTTTTTTTGTTAAATTCTCGATAAGCATCTATTAGATGCATGCAGAACACATGAAGTTATAATGCACCATGTGATAGAAAAGGGAACGCCAAGGCCATGTCCAAAGTCTGGCTTTATTGTTTGTCTTTTTATTATATTAAAAATAAGGCGGCAAATAATAATTGACATAAATGAAGAATCCAAAATCAAATTGAACAGAAAGGAACCTCATAAGCAGAACATCGGACAATTTAAGCAATTCCTTAACTCCTCCATCAACATTACCTATCCCTATCCTATTCTCTCCTCCCTGCACTTTCCTCGAAACCCTTCAATGGAAATAAAATTCATTTCAATTTTCAAGAATGTTTATTAAGTGTGGCACCACCACAAACACATAATTTAGTGTATCATGAGCCATACATGTGTCTTGTTCTTATGGATCGAACCGTCCATTTCAAATGATCCTAGACGTGTAAAGTTGTAATTTTATCAAATTCAATAAATTAATAATTTATGATTTAATGCAAATATTTTAGGATTAAATATTCGGATTATATTTGCATTAAGCAAGTACTAAAATGGACGGTTAGATGAATGACACATACAAGTCAAGCTCAACTCACATCAAATATGGCGCATAGAAACTTTCTATGCTTATAAAGGCTGCTCGAACTCCAATGTGTACTTTCCATTTTACCTCCGTTTGTCATATCATAACATTTTCTTTTGTTTTTATTTCTTTATTGTAGGCAACCATTCTGATTTTTGATACAGTAGAAAGCAGGACTGTTTGACACCAAAAAAAAAAAAAAAAAGTTATGGACAAGAAGGAAACATCGACGAAAGCAACATCCATGACAAGCGAGTATGAAGATTTATTACCAGTGATGGCTGAGAAGCTTGACGTAGAGACGTTTGTGTCAGAATTATGTGGGGGATTTCGACTTCTGTCGGACCTGAATAGGGGCTAACGCCGGAGAGTCTAAGGAAAAATTCAGCATATCTGGGGATGGGGGTGACAAAAGAGGAGCAGAGGCCATGGTAAAAGAAGGAGATCTTGATGGAGATGGAGCACTCAACGAGACTGAGTTCTGCATCTTAATGGTTGACTTAGCCCTGGAATGATGGAGGATCTGAGGCCTGGCTAGACAAGGCACTTCAACAAGATTAACCAACCTTCATCTTGATTCTTTTTCTCTTTAAGTGTTATTATTTGGTGAGTGATTGAATATTTCTGTTGGTTTCATCATCAATTGGTTGTAATTGTAAGAAGAGTTGTTCGTAATGAATAATCAAATTCATAAAATGCATTGCCTGTCTTGTGAATATTGCACCTATTACCAAATCCAATCTTAGCTTTAGCTACACACAACCAACAACAGTCGCTGCTTTCAGATTCAGTTCAATTTTCTATTTTTGAAAAGGTAAGGGTGAAATTCTAACAAAGTTGCTATAGGGAGTAAATAATATCACCAGGAACATGTTTGTAGATTTTTCTAAGGTTAACAGCTTCCTTTCAACTTCTTAGATATTAAAACTGCATCTAGAAAAGAATACTTAAAAGGGCATTGACAGCGTTATTCTTTGGGTGATATATATAGACTTCTTATTATACCAAACAACAACTACGCCAAGGATGACTTGACTAAGGACTTTTCCCATACACCCACTCAATAAAGCAAAAACCGAAACAGACGCCTTCATGAAAATCCCATCAAAGTCGTTACCCCATTATCACAACACCCTGTAGCAAAAGATAAACAGTTATCAAACAAAAAGTTAGGAGACGTTCCGAAACCGCAATCTTCACCCATTATTGGGGTTAAAAATTCCACGTCAAGCCATCTATGATTTGACAATCAGCAAGTCATTTACAGCATTTGGGAATTCATATGCTGCAAAGTTGTTTGAATTAATGGAACAATAAGAGGGATTTACATGATCCAGACTTCACAGAGCATGAAGAGCTGATGCAGATTTGAATTTCATCAATTATCAAACCAAAACTTTATCAAGCAAACTGAAAAACTTTCATCGAACGGATCCACCAGAAATTAATGAGGAAATTAACCCAAACCCGCCTTGATTGGGCTAAAATCATTTATATTTTACCGTCAATCCCAAGCAATAGCTTGACTTTATTTTTTAAATTCTAAATCCACAATTAAAATTTTAACATAAAAGGAAAAAGAGTAAATAACTTGAATACAGGAAAGGGTTAGAGTTCCACAGGATTTAAAGCAGGCAATATCCCCATAAGTATTAAGCCACGAAAGAAAGATAACAATCAAAAACACACACATAACATATATTATATAGGTTTATTACTAATGTCTTCAAATCCAGGAAAACCAGTAACCAAACATACAAATACAATCAGTAATTGATATCTCAAACTGAGAAAATGCTAATTCTACAAGACTATCAGAACTACGCGGACGGCAGACAAAAAATGGTACGAGAGCACACTTCTTTCCCCAGAATGCCATTTTTCACGTTCTTGACCTTCTAACTGGTGATCGGCTGTTAAAGGAGATTCAACAAAAAATAAAAAGATTATAAGACGTATATGAATATGTATGTCAATAAATAATAAGAAACAAGCTCACCACTAGGTTCTGACAAGTGACTACTACCTGCGGTATCTGTCATACTCAGGCTCCTATTCCGCCCATAACAGGACTTCTCCGCTTGTAATACCTGGACTCCTGTTCCTCCCATAATCAGGACTTCTGCGCCTGTCATACACTGCCCATTGTACCGATCATAAACTGCTGCGGGCTCGCCATAATCGGACTTGGTCTCCTACGATAAGCAGGACTTGGTGATCTCCCTATGGACTATCCCCACGCTACCATAACTACCTCTTCTAGGCTATCATATCTGTCATCCCTCTCACTATCTCTTTAAAGCATACTCAACAGAAATAACCCTGTCCATAACTTACTGCACGTGCATAGTGGTTTTGTTAGGAGCAAAAACCATGAACACAATAAGTGAATAGACATGAACAAACCAAGCATATGATAAGAACCTTCTATTTGTAGCATCAAGGGCCTTGGTTGCATCTTCTTGGTCTCAAACTGCACAAATGCAAAGTTTCGTCGAATCCGAACATGAAGGACATTTCCATAGGGCTCGAAGTGTCTTTTTATATCCCGCTCCTTTGTTCGAATAGGATCAAAGTTAATCACAAAACAGGGTTTTAGTGGGCCTCTGATTGCCATTGACCTAGACCCTTCACTGCCGACCACGCCACCCACTGATGAAAGAGAGATTTATCACTTGACAGTTAAATGGAGTTGATCTTGAATAAGCCATACAAATAATTGATTACAACAACAGTAGGCCATAACTGTGAGCCATACATACAGAAAAATGTGAAACCTAAAGGAACCACATAGCCAGAAAGAACCATAACGCACCCTAGCCCACTCAACCGACAGCCTCTCGGTTGTAACCAAATGGTTGATTATCAAGTCCACGGATGGCATCTCAGCATCTCGATCATCCTCAAAATAAACAAAAGCAAAGCCTGCATAGCATGACCAACTCAGAGCAGAAGTATAATGCAGGACATTAGTACTACATCCACCAAACCTGTGGAACATCAGCCAAATCAGGGTTTCTTCCCCTGAATGGACCAAAAATATACGACACCTGCAAATACGTGAAGGCTGATGCACATAAGGATGAAGCGTTCATGATGAACTAAATCAAGATGATGCCTATTAAAGATTTAAAATCCAAGGTTTCAGGTCTGAGACGTCATTGCTAAGAATGCTTCACCTTCAGACAGCACGAATTCAGTAATGGAAGGCATGGCTGAAAGATCATTGATCCCACTATAGTGAAAGGTGGTAGGATGACATATGATTTGATTGCTCCCCACCACGACCATTCTTGTGAAATGGAAACTTGGCGGTGAGGTGGGTGAGTGACAGATGATCGTGTGAGAAAATGCAGGATGATGCCATCAGTAAATGGAAGAGAGCAGCAGGGAAGTTCCATTGCAATAAGATATTTTTGTAGAGAAGTTGGCGAGCCCGAAAGAAGCTCAATTTCCTTTAGTAGAAGTTCCTGCGTCAAAACAAACACTTAATATGGAGTTTTCTCCAAATAAATTAAATTTCAGGTTTCCATTTCATTTCGCCAGGATGCAGTGGTTTTTTTTTCATAAGAAAAGTGGCCCTGATATATCGCTACAACAGGTAGTGACATATCGCATCCAATGGTGATAAAATCAACACAATCCCTATCTATTCAAATATCAATTAACAACTATCCTGGTGCAAGGATATAAGATACTTGTCAACAGCGTGGTATAAGCCATAGGTCCTCAAAAGATCGGACAATTAACAACAATGCAAGGCCCTGACAAAACAAAATGAGGATGCTAACTTCGACCCAACAAAAAATTATCCAAAAAAAAAAAAAAAAAAAGAGTAAGAAAAAATATAAGAATGGGTCAAGAACAAACTCTACATGGACCGTAAAGAAAAGAAGTTGAAAACTCCGCATAAGCATGCAAACAAGGCGCACCTAATAGTCAGACACAAATCCACCTTTTAAACTACAGTATTCATATTCCAAGCTTCGAACCATAAAAAAGAAGTCCTGCTAACTTTAGTTTCGAAACGATTCAACTAAGATGCAAAACCTACAAGCCGTAACTGATCATCAAGATTCAGTTTCTTTACTTGCTCTGCCGCTATAGGCTTTTAAATGCAGAAATATACGCCCCTGACTACGCTGAATTGTAACTCTTTGCTGAAAATAATTTGCCTCTCAATTAAATCTCCACCGGAGTGGGCTGTTAATTTTTTTTTTTTTTCTTAAGGGGGCGTTGAGTGTTCCACAGTTCCATTGCATAGTAAAGTATACTGCAAAAGTCATTATGAGTGCAACGAGTTTTTTATTGAGAAACTACTTCGAGTAAAACCTAGTTCGTGACTGGAGTATACAAACCGTTTACAACTGAAACACGTATAATGACAAAAGTTTACCAGATTTCTGTCAACTCGCTCCACCCTTCCGTTTTTGGAGAAGACGCGCTCTAGCTCAGATTGGCAGTCTCGTACTCGAAGTTTCCAACGAAAATGGGTCTCGACATCGCGATTTCAGCAGCAACAACAACTTCACCCGAGCAAAAGTCTACAACACGCAAATATATTAAAAATCAAGCGAACATAGAATAATATTATTTTGATAATCTTTCACTACTCGCTAAAGATTCAGAATGAGTAGAAAAAATTACCTATAAAGTAGTGGTCAGGAAATAATTTACCTAAAAAGCATATTTCTAATCGACAGAAAGAAAACCCTAACTTAAGGCAAGTTGGTAAGCAACGTTGGTTGTGTGCTTATTTATAAACGCAGCCCTAATTTGACGCTAGCAAAAGTTTTCCGTGTCCGTATGATGATCCGGGTCGTTTCTTGATCCAGGTGACCAGTATAAGCCGTTGGATTTTATCGCTTGACCCTGATAAATGGTAAAGCATGATGTTTGGTTTGGGCTTATTTGTTGGGCTTAGACCGGAGACATTTCTTTTAATGGTCAATGGAAAGTTGTTTTTTTTTCCTTTAAACACCGTGATGAGTAAGCAAATAAAGATATATAAGCTACTTTTATGTTAACCTAATAGATAATGTTTTTTCTTTCTATCTTAATTGATTATTAAAGTAAAATGAGGGCACATAACACCCAATGTATATGGAAAATGCTTTAATTTTATTTCCTTTTTCACATGGTAAAAGACATGTACCCACCAAGATTTGGCAAATCTGAAAGTTTTCACATGGTTTCATAAATTCTAGATTTTCACCCTTAATTAAATTGTTAATGCATTTTTACTTATGACATAGTGCATTTTTACATACGTTTCACACAGTGCTATTACCATACGTCCTTAATTTTTTTATTACACCGCCACCACCACCTTTCAACACATCACAACTGAAACCCCAAAGTCACCACCTCCACCACCATCATCGCTCCTATTAACCTAAATTCACCTCGCCACACCAAATTTACTCACAAATCAACCACAAACCACCAACCCACTCACAATTTGGAAAATGAAGACAATGTGAGTAGAAATGGAACCATGTGACCTGGATGGTAATCGATGTGTAGGAGAAGAAGGAGTTGATGTTGGCGCTGAATGGCGGACTCAACGCAAACACAACAAACTGAGCGCGCGTCGCGATGGAGAGACACAGTCAAGGAGGTGGAAACGATAGATATTGGTGACAATGCTAGTGGGTTTTAAAGAGGACGGCGAGGGGAAGATGAGGATGGAGTCAGGTGGTTTAATTGACGCTGGAAACCGTCCAGATCACATAAGCACAATTGGTCGAGCAAAGGCTGGGGGTCGTACAAACAATGCAAAAACGATGCAAGATCAATCTGAAAACAAACCATTTAGGCTTGGGGAAAGGTGCAATCGGTGATGAGGAGATGATTTCTACCGATTTTGGTGCAAAATCTGGCTGAAATCCATCTAAAATCCCGAAGAGTAAGGAAGGAGAGAAAGGAGAGAGAAATAGACGTGAGACGGTTGTGTGCTGATCATTTTACCTTTTAACCATTAAATTAAACAATTTTCTGTTGATTTAAGGGTAAGAATATGGAATTTGTGAAACCATGGGTGAGAACTGTAGATTCGCCAAACCTTGGGTGGTAAGTGTTAGGGCTACTTAACGAACCGAGCTGCTTGAGAGCTGGCTCAGCTCGGTTGGAGTCTGGCTCGTTAACGGCTCAGTTCGTCTGATAATGAGTCGGCTCGACTCGGCTCGTGAGACAAAACGAGCCGAGCCTGGCCCGAAATATCGGCGGGTTTTTTTAGGTTTTCTAAAGTACTGGGATTTAATTGAAAGTTATGCAACACAAGTTTTAAAAAATAACAAAATGGCCCCGTTATTAAAATCCCCAAATCGTCGAATTCCTTCGCCAGATGAACCCTTGCCGTAAAAGTTGAAACTTGAAACTCCTCCCAAACTCACAATTTTCTTCTCCATCATTAGCACAAAGTTTCCATCGCATTTTCGTCAAACTTTCGTCATCTTCGTCAGATCTTCGTCATCTCATCGAATCTTTGTCATCTTCGTCGGATTTTAATCGGTGAGTATTGAGTTTCTTCAAAGTCTATAAATATTTTATGGGTAAGGTGTTTGTTTTGGCTTTGTTCTTCGGTTTGGTAGCTTGTAAAACCCATATGTGATTGAATGAGGCTGGCTCTTCTTGTTCCTCCATTTTCTCTTCGAGGGTTTATGGAGAACAAATAGAGTTACAATATGAACAAACACTAGGGCTTAAGAAGTGCGTTAAATCATTTTATGGGTACCAAAACGCAGCGTGCAGGTCACCAATTTTAATCGTTTCATTATCATTAAAATATCAAAAAGTAAAACTTTATATATAAAAATATTAATTTTTTTTCATATAAATTAATGTGTCAAAAAATGAACATGTAATAAATGCAAAAAGCTAATTAACAGATAACAGCCTTTAATTCTGCCCAACAAATTAAAAAAAAAAGTTTTGAATTTAAAAAAAAAAAAATTGAATTATTTGGAGTTGGCTTGCGAGCCGACTCGAAATGTGTCAAACCCTTTCACGAGCCACACATTATATGTGTGGCTCGGCTAGGCTTGAGTATTCTTCCTCTTTCACGAACCGAGCTTGTTAAACCAAAAATTCAGTTCGGCTCGGCTTGGCTTGTTAACACCCTTGGTAAGTGTTGTTTTCTTTATTCACATTATTCATAATATTGAACATACTNGTGATCTCAACTCACTGATCAGAATTTTCTGCAAATTCTGTAGTATGGGCCTATGGGGTTTAACCATATCATCACACTTAGAATCAACACCTGATCTGATATCAATAAATAGAGTCCAATTTTACTAAACTAATTTGGTGTAAACTAATCAGTTTATACAAGTTAATCTGATTGAAGGTTATGTTAATTGTTGAGGTTTTTTTTTTTATATAAATCTTTAAAGCTCTGTTATCTTTGACTTTGAATCTTGTTGTTGGGCAGGCAACCAGTGGTAGAGCTTTTCTATTTAGCCACGCAATAAACATCGTTGAAGGGCTGAAAGAGAACCGGCATCTAATAACTGGTCTCCATACAGTTGCTGATGTATTCTGCTCTGATTGTGGAGAGACTTTGGGTTGGAAGTATGAACGCGCCTATGATGAATCACAGAAGTACAAGGAAGGCAAAGTTGTGCTTGAGAATTTCAAGATTGTCAAAGAAAATTGGTAGCCATTATCAGTGATCTTGAGTCTGTTCATGTTGGACCTGTACAGAAGAATTAATTCTTTTCAAGTGAATGGTTTTCATCACATATGGAAGTCAAGGCATAAGTGCCATATGTTGTGTGTGGATAATATTGTAAATGCTGGTGTTTATAAATTCATTCGGATTGCACACGGAATGAATATTAGCTGACAGTTACTTTTTGCTTTCATGCTGAGAAAATGGATGGGAGGAAAAGAATTCGTTCAAAGTCAGTTCTTATTAACATGATCTTTCAGTCCATTTTCTAGTAATCAGGAGCTGGATTACATTATATATTACTTTCATTTTAGTGTTTTCCAAGGAAAATATCAAACATATGCAGTTTTCCACATAGTTTAATTCAACAATAAACAAAGCTAATTTATTTTCCGTGGTCCTGGTTCTGGTTCTGATGGGAAAGAGATCTTGGAGGGGAAATAATGTCAAGCTAAAGAGGAATCGTATAAGTTAAAGAAAGGAAAAACCAATTTAGTAGTAGGCATATCCTTCTGTAAATTATTTCTTTCAAAATTAAACTATTTTATTTTATCTCCTTAATTACATCATGTAGATAGAATCTACTAAAAGGTTGAAAGGGCTTAGTGTAACGAATCCCATATCAAAAACGTATTGGAGAGATCCTAGGCTTATAAATAGGGGGAGTCTCTCTACTTAATATGTTAGTCTTTTGGGTGTGAAACTCTCAACCCGTAACAAGTGGTATCAGAGTAGACTCAATCTATCTTTTGATGTTCCGTCAAGCGCCCACGTGTGATTGTGGGTCCATACGAGAGTGAAATAGTTGGGTAGGCAAAGGGTCTGACGAGAGCGTCACAGGATTGGGTGGAAAAGAATATAATGAATTTCACATCGTATTAGGGAGATTCTGAACTTATAAATAGGGGAGTTTCTTCACCTAATAGATTAGGGCGTAAAACTCCAGCCCGTAACACTAGCCAACCATAGCTGTACCTCTGAAATCAGAAACTGATTCATTCAAATATTATTTGAATTTCAACACCAGCTACTGCATCGCATGTGAAATTGTGAACTGACGCTGGGTGGAAGTTATTAAATCCTCCCTGCCACTACCAACTTGAAGGAAACTTCCTGGTGATTTACAACTTCTTGCTTTTGTCTTTTCTATGGAAATTAATTTCCTCTTTCAATTCCAAGGCCCATCCCATCGCACTGACCACGTACATCACAATACACATAGTATATGATAAAAGGTCTACTACGGTGATCACTTTATTCAATGAAGAAATTTTATTTGACGAATCATCAATCCAAATAATTTAAATTACATGGAAATTGGTAGGGCTTGATGGACATTTCTCAAATTCATGAATTGACGATCATTAGTCAAATAGAAAGTGTTTTTTTTTTTTGAAATTCTCGATAAGCATCTATTAGATGCATGCAGAACACATGAAGTTATAATGCACCATGTGATAGAAAAGGGGACGCCAAGGCCATGTCCAAAGTCTGGCTTTATTGTTTGTCTTTTTATTATGAAATTAAAAATAAGGCGGCAAATAATAATTGACATAAATGAAGAATCCAAAAATCAAATTGAACAGAAAGGAACCTTCATAGAAGCAGAACATCGGACAATTTAAGCAATTCCTTCAACTCCTCCATCAACATTACCTATCCCTATCCCTTATTCTCTCTCCCTGCACTTTCCTCGAAACCCTTCAATTGGAAAATAAAATTCATTTCAATTTTCAAGAATGTTTATTAAGTGGTGGCACCACCACAAACACATAATTTTATTGTATCATGAGCCATACATGTGTCTTGTTCTCTATGGATCGAACCGTCCAATTTCAAATGATCCTAGACGTGTAAAGTTGTAATTTTATCAAATTCAATAAATTAATAGATTTATGATTTAATGCAAATATTTTAGGATTAAATATTCGGATTATATTTGTCATTTAAGCAAGTATCTAAAATGGACGGTTGAGATGAATGACACAATACAAGTCAAGCTCAACTCACATCAAGAATGTGGCGCAATAGAAACTTTCTATGCTTATAAAGGCTGCTCGAACTCCAATGTGTATCTTCCATTATTAACTCCGTTTGTCATATCATAACATTTTCTTTTGTTTTTTAATTCTTTATTGTAGGCAAACCATTCTGAGTTTTTGATACAGTAGAAAGCAGGGGAGCTGTTTGACCACCAAAAAAAAAAAAGTTATGGAAAAGAAGGAAACATCGACGAAAGCAACATCCATGACAAGCGAGTATGAAGATTTATTACCAGTGATGGCTGAGAAGCTTGACGTAGAGACGTTTGTGTCAGAATTATGTGGGGGATTTCGACTTCTGTCGGACCTGAATAGGGGGCTGATAACGCCGGAGAGTCTAAGGGAAAATTCAGCATATCTGGGGATGGAGGGGATGACAAAAGAGGACGCAGAGGCCATGGTAAAAGAAGGAGATCTTGATGGAGATGGAGCACTCAACGAGACTGAGTTCTGCATCTTAATGGTTAGACTTAGCCCTGGAATGATGGAGGATGCTGAGGCCTGGCTAGACAAGGCACTTCAACAAGATTTAACCAAACCTTCATCTTGATTCTTTTTCTCTTTTAAGTGTTATTATTTGGTGAGTGATTGATAATTTCTGTTGGTTTCAACATCAATCTGGTTGTAATTGTAAGAAGAGGTTGTTCGTAATGAATAATCAAATTCATAAAATGCATTGCGCTGTCTTGTGAATATTGCACCCTAATTACCAAATCCAATCTTAGCTTTAGCTACACACAACCAACAAGAGTCGCTGCTTTCAGATTCAGTTACAATTTTCTGTTGTTTGAAAAAGGTAAGGGTGAAATTCTAACAAAGTTGCTATAGGGAGTAAATGAATATCACCAGGAACTATGTTTGTAGATTTTTCTAAGGTTAACAGCTTCCCTTTCAACTTCTTAGATAATTAAAACTGCATCTTAGAAAAGAAATACGTTAAAAGGGCATTGACAGCGTTATTCTTTGGGTGATATATATAGACTTCTTATTATACCAAACAACACAACTACGCCAAGAGATGACTTGACTAAAGACTTTTCCATACACCCACTCAATAAAGCAAAAACCGAAACAGACGGCCTTCATGAAAATCCTCCATCCAAAGTCGTTACCCCATTATCACAACACCCTGTAGCAAAGAGATTAAACAGTTATCAAACAAAAATGTTAGGGAGACGTTCCGAAACCGCAATCTTCACCCAATTATTGGGGTTAAAAAATTCCACGTCAAGCCATCTATGATTTGACAATCAGCAAGTCATTTACAGCATTTGCTGGAATTCATATGCTGTCAAAGTTGTTTGAATTAATGGGAACAATAAGAGGGGTTTACATGATACCAGACTTCACAGCAAGCATGAAGAGCTGATGCAGATATTGAATTTCATCAATTATCAAACCATAACTTTATCAAGCAAACTGAAAAACTTTCATCGAACGGATCCACCAGTAAATTAATGAGGGATAATTAACCCAAACCCGCCTTGATTGGGCTGAAATACATTTATTATTTTATTTTTACCGTCAATCCCGAGCTAATAGCTTGACTTTATTTTTTCAATTACTAAATTCACAATTTAAAATTTTAACATAAAAGGATAAAAGAGTAAATAACTTGAATAGCAGGAATTAGGGTTAGAGTTCCACAGGATTTAAAGGCAGGTCAATATCCCCAATCAAGTATTAAGCCAACGAAAGACAAGATAACAATCAAAACACACACACACACACACATATATATATATATAGGTTCTATTACTAATGTCTTCAAATCCAGGAAAACCAGTAACCAAACATACAAATACAATCAGTAATTGATATCTCAAACTGAGAAAATGCTAATTCTACAACTATTCAGAACTACCGCGGACGGCCAGACAATAAAATGGTACGAGAGCACACTTCTTTCCCCAGAATGCACATTTTTCACGTTCTTGACCTTCTAACTGGTGATCGGCTGTTATAAGGAGATTCAAGGCAAAAAATAAAAAAGATTATAAGACGTATATGAATATGTATATGTCAATAAATAATAAGCAAACAAGCTCACCACTAGGTTACTGACAAGTGACTACGTACCTGCGGTATCTGTCATACTCAGGGCTCCTATTCCGCCCATAATCAGGACTTCTCCGCTTGTAATACACTGGACTCCTGTTCCTCCCATAATCAGGACTTCTGCGCCTGTCATACACTGTCCCATTGTACCGATCATAAACTGGGCTGCGGGCTCGGCCATAATCTGGACTTGGTCTCCTACGATAAGCAGGACTTGGTGATCTCCCATATGGACTATCCCCACGCCTACCATAACTACCTCTTCTAGGGCTATCATATCTGTCATCCCTCTCACTATCATCTTTTAAAGCATACTCAACAGAAATAACCCTGTCCAATAACTTACTGCACAGTGCATAGTGGTTTTGTTAGGAGCAAAAACCATGAACACAATAAGTGATAAGCAATGAAACAACCAAGCATATGATAAGAACCTTCTATTTGTAGCATCAAGGGCCTTGGTTGCATCTTCTTGTGTCTCAAACTGCACAAATGCAAAGTTTCGTCGAATCCGAACATGAAGGACATTTCCATAGGGCTCGAAGTGTCTTTTTATATCCCGCTCCTTTGTTCGAATAGGATCAAAGTTAATCACAAACAAGGTTTTAGTGGGCCTCTGATTTGCCATTGACCTAGACCCTTCACGATGCCGACCACGCTCACCCTGATGAAAGAGAGATTTATCACTTGACAGTTAAAATGGAGTTGATCTTGAAATAAGCCATACAAATAATTGATTACAACAACAGGTAGGCCAATAACTGTGAGGCCATACATACAGAAAAATGTGAAACCTAAAGGAACCACATAGCCAGAAAGAACCATAACGCACCCTAGCCCACTCAACCGACAGCCTCCGTCGGTTGTAACCAAATGGTTGATTATCAAGTCCACGGATGGCATCTGCAGCATCTCGATCATCCTCAAAATAAACAAAAGCAAAGCCTGCAATAGCGTGACCAACATCAGAGGCAGAAGTAATAATGCAGGACATTAGTACTACATCCACACAACCTGTGGTACATCAGCCAAATCAGGGTTTCTTCCCCTGAATGGACCAAAAATATACGACACCTGCAAATACGTGAAGGCTGATGCACATAAGGATGTAGAAGCGTTGCATGATGAACTAAATCAAGATGATGGCCTATTAAAGATTTAAAATCCAAGGTTTCAGGTCTGAGACGTCATTGCTAAGCATGCTTCACCATTCAGACAGCACGAATTCAGTAATGGAAGGCATGGCATGAAAGATTTCATTGATCCCACTATAGTGAAAGGTGGTAGGTATGACATATGATTTGATTGCTCCCCACCACGACCATTCTTGTGAAATGGAAACTTGGGCGGTGAGGTGGGTGAGTGACAGATGATCGTGTGATGAAAATGCAGGATGATGCCATCAGTAAATGGAAGGAGAGCAGTCAGGGAAGTTTCCATTGCAATAAGAATATTTTGTAGAGAAGTTGGCGAGCCCAGAAAGAAGCTCAATTTCCTTTAGTAGAAGTTCCTGCGTCAAAACAAACACTTAATATGGAGATTTTCTCCAAATAAATTCAAAATTTCAGGTTTCCATTTTCATTTCTGCCAGGATGCAGTAGAGGTTTTTTTTCATAAGAAAAGTGGCCCTGATATTATCGCTACAACAGTAGTGACATATCGCAGTCCAATAAGGTGATAAAATCACAACAATCCCTATCTATTCAAATATCAATTAACAACTATCCTGGTGCAAGGAATATAAGATACTTGTCAACAGCGTGGTATAAGCCATAGGTCACTCAAAAGATCGGGACAATTAACAACAATGCAAGGCCCTGACAAAACAAAATGAGGGATGCTAACTTCGACCCAACAAAAAAAATTATCCACAAACAGGGGAAAAAAAAAAAAAAGAGTGAAGAAAAAATAATAAGAATGGGTCAAGAACAGAAACTCTACATGGACTGTAAAGAAAAGAAGTTGAAAACTCCGCATAAGCATAGCAAACAAGGCGCACCTAATAGTCAGACACAAATCCACCTTTTAAACTACAGTAATTCAGTATTCCAAGCTTCGAACTATAAAAAAGAAGTCCTGCTCAACTTTAGTTTCGAAACGATTCAACTAAATAGTGCAAAACCTACAAGCCGTAACTTGATCATCAAGATTCAGTTTCTTTAGCTTCTCTGCCGCTATAGGCTTTTAAATGCAGAAATATAGTCCCCTGACTACGCTGGAATTGTAACTCTTTGCTGAAAATAATTTGTCTCTCAATTAAATCTGCACCCGTGGAGGGGCTGTTAATTTTTTTTTTTTTTTTTTCTTTTCCTTAAAGGGGGCTGTTGAGTTGGTTCCACAGTTCCATCGTCATAGTAAAGTATACTGCAAAAGTCATTATGAGTGCAACGAGTTTTTCTATTGAGAAACTACTTCGAGTAAAACCTAGTTCGTGACTGGAGTATACAAAACCGTTTACAAACTTGAAACACGTATAATGGNAGTCCCCTGACTACGCTGGAATTGTAACTCTTTGCTGAAAATAATTTGTCTCTCAATTAAATCTGCACCCGTGGAGGGGCTGTTAATTTTTTTTTTTTTTTTTTCTTTTCCTTAAAGGGGGCTGTTGAGTTGGTTCCACAGTTCCATCGTCATAGTAAAGTATACTGCAAAAGTCATTATGAGTGCAACGAGTTTTTTTATTGAGAAACTACTTCGAGTAAAACCTAGTTCGTGACTGGAGTATACAAAACCGTTTACAACTTGAAACACGTATAATGGACAAAAGTTTACCAGATTTCATGTCAACTCGCTCCACCCTTCCGTGTTTGGAGAAGACGCGCTCTAGCTCAGATTGGCGAGTCTCGTACTCGAAGTTTCCAACGAAAATGGGTCTCGACATCGCGATTTCAGCAGCAACAACAACTTCACCCGAGCAAAAGTCTACAATCAGCGCAAATAATATTAAAAATCAAAGCGAACAATAGAATAATATTATTTTGATAATCTTTCACTACTCGCTAAAGATTCCAGAATGAGTAGAAAAAATTAGCCTATAAAGTAGTGGTCAGGAAATAATTTTACCTAAAAAGCTATATTTCTAATCGACAGAAAGAAAACCCTAACTTAAGGGCAAGTTGGTGAAGCAACAGTTTGTTGTGTGCTTATTTATAACCGCAGCCCTAATTTGACGCTAGCAAAAGTTTTCCGTGTCCGTACGATGATCCGAGTCGTTTCTTGATCCAGGTGACGCAGTATAAGCCGTTGGATTTTATCGCTTGACCCTGATAAAATTGGTAAAGCATGATGTTTTGTTTGGGCTTTATTTGTTGGGCTTAGACCGGAGACATTTCTTTTAATAGGTCAAGAAGCTTCTGATTAGGGTCTTTAACCAGCCTCATGAGTCATGAGTCATGAATCTACTTTTATCAGTCAAGGAGGCTTTGGGTTGGTCAATGATTTTTTTTTTTTCCTTTAACACCGTGATGAGTAAGCAAATAAAGAATATATAAGCTACTTTTATGTTAACCTAATACGCATATATGTTTTTTCTTTCTATCTTAATTGATTATTAAAGTAAATTAGAGGGCACATAACACCCAATGTAATATATGGGGAGAAATGCTTTAATTTTATTTTCCTTTTTCACATGAGTAAAAGACATATACCCACCCAAGATTTGGCGAATCTGAAAGTTTCCAAAGTTTTATAAATTCTAGATTTTTATCCTTAAATTAACATTGTTAATGCATTTTTACTTATGACATAGTTTCACACAATGCTATTACCATACTGTCCTTAATTTTTTTATTACACTGCCACCACCACCTTTCAACACCATCACAACTGAAACCCCAAAGTCACCACCTCCACCACCATTGCAATCCTTATTAACCCCAAAGTCAACCTCACCACCACCAAATTTACTCACAAATTCAACCACAAACTACCACCTAAACCCAACACCCACTCACAATCTGGAAAATGAATGACAATCACGAGTAGGAAATGGCAACCAGTGTGACCTGAGATGGTAATCGATGTGTCAGGGGAGAAGAGAGGAGTTGATGTTGGCGGTGAATGGCGGACTCAACGCAAACGCAACAAACTCAAGCGCGCGTCGCGATGGAGAGATGCAGTCGGGGAAGGTGGAAACGATAGCTATTGGTGGTAGTGCTAGTGGGTGTTTTAAAGAGGACGGTGAGGGGAAGATGAGGATGGAGTCAAGTGGTTTAATTGACGTTGGAAACCGTCCAGATCGAGCATAAGCACAATCGATCGAGCAAGGCTGAGGGTCGTACAAACAATGCAAAAACGATGCAAGATCAATCTGAAAACAAACCATTTAAGTTTGCGGAAAGGTGCAATCGGTGATGAGGAGATGATTTCTACCGATTTTGGTGCAAGATCCAACTAAAATCCCGAAGAGTAAGGAAGGAGAGAAAGGAGGGAGAAATAGACGTGAGACAGTTGTGTGCTGACCATTTTACTCTTTAACCATTAAATTAAATAATTTTCTGTTGATTTAAGGGTAAAAATATGGAATTTATGAAACCATGGGTGAGAACTATAGATTCATCAAACCTTGGGTGGTAAGTGTTGCTTTCTTTATTCACATTATTCATAATATTGAACATACTAAGAATAACGTGACTGTAAAGTCAATGTAGCAATAAAGGAAGTCACGACCATTACGGTTTGAGGAAGAAATGAGTTAATGAGAAGATGATAATTACCTTTTGAAGCAGCCAATCCTAAACCTTAGTTGGGCTTGTCTGGTTCCCCAAATGCACATTTATATGATGACCACTTTCAAATTCAAACGTCAAACTCGGCACAGTGTGAGTAATCTTCTCACCCTCGTCAACAAAAATAAAGTGGCCACATGTTTCCTTATGCACAGTTACCGTCAAACGCTGGTCCCTCGTTGTCGTTTTTCTTCTGGACTTGATAATTACATGACCAAACTGCCCCAACTTAGGTATTCTTAAAGGATAATGTAAATAAAAAAAAATATATAAAATAATTCAAGTCTCTGACTCCTTTTTCTCATTCTTTCTAAGAAAATTACAATGACGTTGAGATTGAGTTGAATCAAAGGAAAATAAAAGAAATGTACCTAACCCATTACATAAGGAAAACGTTGGCCCCTCTTCTTTTAATCGAATCTTATCGATAAAATATTAAAATCAAATTGTAAAAGATATATTCTATGTGATGGAACAACCAATTTAATTTCAATATAAATAGAAACTAAGTAACAATAGAGAATATGTTATTGATAGATTTATTAGAGTTTTTGAGTTGTAATGAGATGGTGGTTCATCTTCTTCATGTATGCGTATGATGTATAAATAATCTCAATCACAACGTATAATCATAATATGGAAATTGGAATACACTCAATCTGCACATACATTTCTTTATTTATTATAAATAATTAATGTATTCCGTCAATAATTAAGACATTATAACTAAAGAAAAAGATTAAAATTGATATGAAATGTATCCAACACTACCAACCCGAAAAAGTTGGGTAGCTTAGGCGTTATATATTAATTTACTTGCATTACACACTTCTTTTAAAAATAAAGTACCTAACAAAGTAGACTAATGGCTTAACGAGGCCCATGCCATTGACATTTGCATTATATAATAATCTCATTCCATTTCTTAAATATTTGCAGGCATTAAGTAAACACACAGAACTTTCCTGGAAGCCTGGTTCCTCTTAAACAATTGCTAATTTAATTTATTAATTCACATTCTATCCAGCTTGCCACCGTTCTCCATTACCTTTGTTTAATAAAATGTTCATTGCAATTACTTTCTAATGCATACATATTAAACTAAAAAGTTCATTTTATACCTAATATTTTAAAGATTTTAAAATACTCTATATATATATACTATTCTTAATTTCTTATTATACAAGTGCTTTGGCCTTGAAACCTCTTCTATTTATATGAAATTGGCCTTTCAATCACCTAAAAAGGATAAAATATCTAACAGGAAAAAGTGTTTAGAACTCCGACAACCACATAAAAAAAATTGATCACCCATTTGAGAAAAATCTTTTCTCGGAATGCGAAATAGAAGCAAGATCTCTTCTCTAGTTGGCCCTCTAGTATGAACCAAATATTTAAGATTATTATATATATAAAAAAAAGGTCTTAAGTTTCTCACCAATTATTGAATTAAAAAAACAAAACAGAACAGGAACAGAGCTGTCTGTTTAGTGTTTCCTACATACACTATACATATAGATTTCCGAACCAGCTTGCGGTCACAATTTCTTTACGGCTACAGCCTACAAGTAAACCGCGCCACGAGGGTCCGAATATGTAAATACTCTGAATTCACCAGGGTTGTTTCGTAAGGTACTTTTCAAAAAAAAAAAAAACCGACTGGCAAAGAAAATTCCAAAGCAAAGGTCTCAAATTCGAATTCCACTACATTATTATTTTTTTTTTTGAAAAAAAGAAGACTGGAGCCATACAAGTTCAAAAGCCTGCAAGAGAATTCTACATTTATTTAATTATGTATATATTCCTCTTACTTTCTCAGGCTAAATTTTAGTCGTAGATGACAATTCAACAAGATTTTTTTTTTCTCTTTTTGCTTTCTCTCCAAGCCACTATCTTACTTGTAAGTTATTTATTCTTCATCTTCTTTAAATGTTCTATTCTTATTTTTTCGTTTTGCTCTGTTTACGCTTAAGTTTGGAGTATTTAGTTGTATTGTGTGGAAACGTTTATACAAGATTTATGCTTCATAACAGTGGTTACTTCAAAGTTGGTAAGTGGTTATGTTTTCAGTTATTTTCTGGTTTTTACTTTGTTGGTTGTTTTGCAGACTAGTTTTGTCTGGTTTGTTGGCCCTTTAATTTCGTTAAACCACCTTTATATTTATTTATTTTGGTTTTGTGGGTGGGTGGATGGGCTTAACTCTAAGATTAGCCATTATCGTGCTTTAGTAGGGTGGTTGGTTTCTATATTAAAGAAGCAGTGCATAATTGTGCTTATACTTCATAATTATAACTTTTATATTCAACTTAAAATTTCCTGGTGAACTATATGCATTTTCGTTCTCCTTTATTCATAGTAGTTTTGAAATTATATTTTGAGTATGTGTCGTTCGTGCTTTTGCTGAAATTTTTGCTTCACGTGTTTGAAGGTTTTGTAGGAATTTGATGTGATTCTTCGGAATATTTGCTAATTTTTTGTTTGGAGGGATTATTTGAACTCCAATTGGAATCATAATGGAGGAAAAACCATTCCCTGCTTGGTCTTGGTCAGTAGAGCAGTGTTTGAAAGAGTACAATGTGAAAATGGATAAGGGACTGAGTTCTTATGATGTTGAAAAGCAGCGTCAGAGATACGGATGGAATGAGCTTGCCAAGGAGAAGGGGAAGCCTCTGTGGCAGCTAGTTTTAGATCAATTTGATGATACGCTTGTGAAGATACTTTTGGTTGCAGCTTTTATATCCTTCATTTTAGCTTATTTACATGGTAGTGAATCTGGGGAGTCTGGATTTGAGGCCTATGTTGAACCATTTGTGATAGTGCTGATTTTAGTTCTTAATGCCATTGTTGGGGTGTGGCAAGAGAGCAATGCTGAGAAGGCTCTTGAAGCCCTCAAAGAGATGCAATGTGAATCTGGGAAGGTTTTGCGAGATGGGTATCTTGTGCCAGACTTGCCTGCAAAAGAACTTGTTCCAGGGGATATAGTGGAACTGAGGGTTGGGGACAAAGTGCCTGCTGACATGAGAATTGCAGCTTTGAAAACCTCAACTTTGAGAGTTGAGCAGAGCTCATTGACTGGGGAGGCAATGCCCATTCTGAAAGGTACTAGTCCTGTATTCCTTGATGACTGTGAGTTGCAGGCTAAAGAAAATATGGTTTTTGCTGGCACGACAGTTGTGAATGGGAGTTGTGTTTGTATTGTTATTAGCACGGGTATGAACACTGAGATTGGGAAGATACAGAAGCAAATACATGAGGCATCTTTGGAAGAGAGTGAAACCCCTTTGAAGAAGAAGCTAGATGAATTTGGCAGCAGACTTACTACTGCAATTGGGTTTATTTGCCTTGTTGTTTGGATCATAAATTACAAGAATTTTCTTTCATGGGATGTTGTGGATGGATGGCCTGCAAACATCCGATTTTCTTTTGAGAAGTGCACCTATTATTTCAAAATTGCTGTTGCCCTGGCTGTAGCTGCAATTCCAGAAGGCCTTCCTGCTGTAATTACGACTTGCTTAGCTCTGGGTACCAGGAAAATGGCACAAAAGAATGCTATTGTGCGAAAACTTCCCAGTGTGGAAACCTTGGGATGTACAACTGTGATTTGTTCAGATAAAACTGGGACACTGACCACAAATCAGATGTCTGTGTCAGAATTCTTCACTTTGGGTGGAAAAACTACTTCTTCCAGGATTTTCCACGTTGAAGGAACAACTTATGATCCCAAGGATGGTGGAATTGTTGATTGGACATGTTACAATATGGATGCTAACTTGCAAGCCATGGCAGAAATATGTGCTGTTTGTAACGATGCTGGGATCCATTGCGATGGCCGTCTCTTTCGAGCTACTGGTTTACCCACTGAAGCAGCTTTAAAGGTTTTAGTTGAAAAGATGGGAGTTCCAGATGTTAAGGTAAGAAACAAGATCCGTGACATACAGCTTGCTGCGAACTATTTGATTGACCACAGCACGGTTAAATTAGGTGAGTGGAAATTTTTTTATTTGAGATTAAATTCTGCATTTTCTGCTATTTTTTTTATTTAAATTTCCTGAAATGATATTTCTATGTAAGGCTGCTGTGAATGGTGGACAAAAAGATCAAAAAGGATAGCTACATTGGAGTTTGATCGCATCCGAAAATCAATGAGCGTTATTGTCCGGGAGTCTACTGGGCATAATCGACTACTTGTCAAGGTGATTTGCACTTTTATCTTTATGCTAGCTTTGCTGTAAGAGAAGTGGCTATTATAGAGTTGGTATCCGAATTTTTATTTGTATCTTTATTTAAGGTTGCTGGTGGTTAAATGAGTGATGACAAAAATGCAGATATTTTACTTGTCAACGTTTTCTTTTGTAAGTTGAAAATTTAATGAACTGGAAGTAACAAACTTAACATATTTTATGTTGACATTGTTTTATTGCAACTGTTAAGACAGTGAAAATATTAAATGGAAGTAGTTAAGCTCCAAAGTTTTGTCATTTTCTGCAGCTAGAGCTTGCTAACTTGAGTAGACAAAGCATCTGAAATTTGTTCACCTGGACAAGTGATGCCTGTTCTAGGTGCTAGTTACATTTAGCTGAAAGTTGACAACGTTGACTTGTCTTTTGTAAGCTTTCACTTTTGAGTAAACTTTTTAAAAGGCTGAAACAATGATTTTTTGGGCATCCTAAAATGTTGTTCTGTGTGAAACATGAGATTAAGTAGTTTCAATTGACTGTATGCTTTGTAGTAAAACAATCAAAACCAAAATGCCTTCTTCTACACTTGATTTAATGATTGAATTTGCAGGGTGCTGTGGAGAGTTTACTCGAGCGCAGTTCACATGTGCAACTTGCAGATGGATCTCTTATTCCTATAGATGAACCTTGTAGGCAACTCTTGCTTACAAGAAACTTGGAGATGAGTTCAAAGGGATTGCGATGCTTAGGGTTGGCATATAAGGATGAGCTGGGAGAGTTTTCAGACTATTATGCCGAGAATCATCCCGCCCACAAGAAGTTGCTTGATCCAGCATGCTACTCCGCTATTGAAAGTGACTTAGTTTTTGTTGGGGTTGTTGGTCTAAGGGTGAGTACATGTCACTGTTTTTGTGTTTCACATCAACTAATATTGTTTGACTTGTGAATTTCAAAGATTCTTGCTTATTAAACACATCTTGACAGGACCCTCCTCGTGATGAAGTTGACAAAGCAATTGAGGACTGTAGAGCAGCTGGGATAAAAGTTATGGTGATAACTGGGGATAATAAATCCACAGCTGAGGCTATCTGTCAGGAAATTAAATTATTTTCTGGAGGTGAGGATCTTAGAGGAAGAAGTTTTACAGGTAAAGAGTTCATGGCTCTTTCACCCACACAACAAGTTGAAATTTTGTCAAAACCCGGAGGGAAGGTTTTCTCTCGTGCTGAGCCTAGGCACAAGCAAGAAATTGTGAGGATGCTAAAGGAGATGGGGGAAGTTGTTGCAATGACTGGAGATGGTGTGAATGATGCACCTGCACTCAAATTGGCAGACATTGGAATTGCTATGGGCATCACAGGAACTGAGGTAACGTAGCTCTTTAACGTTTCTATTTTGTTGCACTTTTGTACTTTTTGCCCAAAGGAAGGACATTGAATGTCTAGTTACTGTAGAATTAATAACTTGATTTTTTTTCCTAATTTGGGAACTCTTTGTGTTTAATATTCCAGGTTGCAAAAGAAGCTTCAGATATGGTTTTGGCAGATGATAATTTTAGCACCATTGTTTCAGCTATCGCTGAGGGTCGCTCAATTTATAATAACATGAAAGCTTTTATCAGGTAAATCTTTATTCTCTTATCNGCACTCAAATTGGCAGACATTGGAATTGCTATGGGCATCACAGGAACTGAGGTAACGTAGTTCTTTAACGTTTCTATTTTGTTGCACTTTTGTACTTTTTGCCCAAAGGATGGACATTGAATGTCTAGTTACTGTAGAATTAATAACTTGATTTTTTTTCCTAATTTGGGAACTCTTTGTGTTTAATATTCCAGGTTGCAAAAGAAGCTTCAGATATGGTTTTGGCAGATGATAATTTTAGCACCATTGTTTCAGCTATCGCTGAGGGTCGCTCAATTTATAATAACATGAAAGCTTTTATCAGGTAAATCTTTATTCTCTTATCGTCTTCCTTTGAGTGGTCTACAAATGCATATTCATCTCGTCAATCTGTAGGTATATGATATCATCCAATGTTGGAGAAGTGATATCCATATTCTTGACTGCTGCTTTGGGGATTCCAGAATGTATGATACCTGTGCAGCTTCTGTGGGTAAATTTGGTTACTGATGGTCCTCCTGCAACTGCTCTTGGTTTTAACCCTCCTGATGTTGATATAATGCGGAAACCACCCCGCAGAAGTGATGATGCTCTAATAAATTCATGGGTTCTATTGCGCTACTTGGTTAGTATAATCAAAATCCTTATTCTTGATAAGAACTTCATAATAGCATTTGGCATTTACTTGAACAAACTGGAATTTGAACCTCTTAATGCTGACAAATGGAACACTGTTTTTGATTTTTAATTTTGCCAATTGAAATTGTTCTTTTCATGGATTATTCAGAAACAATGAAACAATGAAGATTTAATAATAGTAAAATGTAGATATGTAGGATTGACTAATCAGCTTATAATATGGCTTTGGAGAAATGAAGGACCAGAGAAGTATTTGGTAAAGTAATTTAGCCTTTGAATTTTCATAATCGTATTAAAATATTGTTTTTCTATCTATTTATGTATTAAAGGAGTGTATTTTGATTAGAATATCTTCTGTATTTGCATATCATGCTGAGTTTTATAATGTTCGAATATAATGTACGGGATGTTTATGTGTTCTGATTACTTTGAATATTTTTTAATATTTTGAGTGGTCAATCGCAGGTAATTGGTAGTTATGTGGGAATAGCAACCGTTGGTGTATTCATCTTGTGGTATACTCAGGGTTCATTAATGGGTATCAGTCTTGTTGACGATGGACATACACTTGTTTCATTATTTCAGCTCCGGAATTGGGGGGAGTGCTCTACATGGTCCAATTTCACTGTGTCTCCCTACATGGTTGGTGGGGGACGGGTGATTACTTTCTCTAACCCTTGTGATTATTTTACCGTTGGTAAAGTTAAGGCAATGACTCTGTCACTTTCTGTATTGGTGGCAATTGAGATGTTCAATTCCCTGAATGCCGTCTCTGAAGATAACAGCTTGGTGACGATGCCACCTTGGAGGAATCCATGGCTTTTATTTGCCATGTCATTCTCATTTGGACTCCATTGCCTCATACTCTATGTTCCCCTCCTTGCAGACGTCTTTGGTATTGTTCCATTAAGTCTGAATGAATGGTTTCTGGTCATTTTAGTCTCGGCACCTGTCATTCTTATAGACGAGCTTCTTAAGTTTGTGGGAAGGAGTAGAAGACGTGGGGCAAAGAAAGAGAAGACATCATGATTGGGAATAGTCTGTGAACGGCTTGGGAGAATTTTCAGAATTGACACTGACAGATCAGAAGATATATCTTTCAGCGTTTTGTTAATTTAAATTCTTTGATAAATTATTTATTTATATTTTCATGTAAAGCATATGTTTTTATTTTGAAGAACAAAGATACCATTGACCTTTGTTTACTAGATCCGTAGAAGAAATGGTTAGTTAAAGTGTTCGACAGACATCACTGCTCAATTCAGCAGATTAATGTGGATTTACCATATTCAGTTCCTTTTCCAGAATTACTATATAACATTCAAGTTTGGTTTGGGTTTATAAAAATCAAATTTCTTTAATCCTGTGCCACATTCTGTGTTAACCATGAGGAAAAGTAACAATACAGGTGTAAAGCACGAAAAGGTATCATATTTAGAGTCAGATTTAACCAAGGCTTGAAAAATATAGGAGTATTCATTACACCCTCATGGATACACGAACCCCCTTTAATAAAGAGTGTAAAATCAAAAAGTCATAAAAAAATATAGGGTTAAAACTTCCAAGGCGTCATAATACAAAGGGGATTTCTACTCCAGCGGGTATAGCTCTTCAAGTTCAGTTTTAAAGTAAGTTACATATCTTGGTAGTTTCATTTTTGCTGAAACTTCATTCAGTAGGGCATATATCTCATCACATTTAGGATGCGTTTTATCCTCTACAATGAATTTATGAATATCACCTCCCTCTTCAATGAGACTATATCCCGCTCCCTTTGTAATCTGACAACGTTTCATTACCTTCCTTAACCTTGCAACCCCATCCCACCGTCCTGCTGATGCATATATATTGGAAAGAATAACAAAGTTCCCTGGATTCCAGGGATCTAGCTTAAAGAGAGACTCAGCCGCTATTTCACCCAACTCAACATTAACATGAAAACTGCAAGCTCCTAAAAGAGCACCCCATATCGCAGAATCTGGTTTCATAGGCATAGTTTGTATAAGATCATAAGCTTCTTGTAATTGGCCTGCACGACCCAGGAGATCAACCATGCATCCATAGTGTTCCAGTTTGGGAGTAATATTAAACCTTTTCTCCATTGATCCAAAAAGTTCTCTTCCTTTTCTTACCATGCCTCCATGAGTGCATGCTAAGAAAAGTCCGACAAATGTAACATCATCAGGTGCAGGTCCTTCCCTCTGCTACCACCCACCAAAAACATAAAGGTACAATACAAACATGTTAAAAAACTAAATTTCAAAATACAATAAAAGAAAAGAAATATCACAGTAACCAAAAAGACTGTACCAGCATTTGCTCATAGAGCTCAAGAGCGTCATTACATTTTCCATGGACAGCCAAACCCATGATCATAGAATTCCAAGAGCACAAATTTCTCCTCTTACCAATCTCATTGAACAACTTCTTTGCCACATCAATTTTTCCACACCTAGCATACATTTCCAATACAGCATTGCTGACGTATATATTCTTGAAAAAACCATTCTCTCTTGCATATTTTTCAATCCTCTCTCCAATCTCTAATGCACCAAGGTTTGCGCAAGCTGGTATTACACTAGCTATGGTAACTTCATTAGGCCTAATATCTTTCTCAGCCTCCATTTTCAAAAACATCGATAAGGCCTTAGCATACTGCCCATTTTGGGCAAAACCGGATATAATTGCTGTCCATGAAACCACATTCCTAGTTGGCATTAACCTAAATAATTCTAATGCTCCCTCCATATCACCACATTTTGCATAGCCCGCAATTATTGAATTCCAAGTGGGTACTTCTCTAACTAGCATTTCATCAAACATCTTGCGTGCTAATTCTATACAGCGTAGGTTCGCATACATACCAACCAAAGCAGTCAAGGTGAAAACATCGCTTTGAAATCCGGATTTAAGAAAATGGGAATGGAGGATTTGGGCATGAGGAAGGGAGTTTAGTGAAGCACAAACGGTGAAGAGGAAGGTGTAAGAGTGCTGATTCGGGGAGCATTTTTTGCTGCACATTTGGGTGTAGAGGGAAAGACATTGGTGAGGTTGGTTCTGAGAAGAGTAGGCTTGAATGAGCTTGTTGTAAAGAAAGACATTTGGGTTTGAAATTTGATTGAACAAGTTGTGCGCGTAAGGGATGTTTGGGATTCGAAGGAGCTCAATTATGAGGAACCTGTTATGGTCAATGCCATTTCTTAGGGTGTAGGCATGGATTTGTTTCAATTGGTTCATACCAAGTTCTCTTTTGTGCATCACTGAAAAACTTGTTAGTACATAACCAGTAATGTGATAGGAACTGAGGCAACAGGAATGTCCATAGTTTTGTTGATCGTTAATCATTTCTAGATGGGCATTTCTTCCCAAATAAAACGTCGTCGCCGTGTTTGGAAGACTAGAAAATAGACTGGGCTTACAAAAATCAAGAGGTATGATTGGGTCAAAACAGAAGAACGATAAGACGTTTAAGAGCTTTAGATACTTCAGAACTCAGAAGCCTGAAACCACGGCAGGTAAAATTGTAACTTACTATTGTAAAAATGCTTTGATGAACTCAAGTTCAATTCTAATAGAGATTGGATACATTCAAGACTTAAGACTTTATAAAACAAAAAGCAAGAGAAGAAAATAAATAAATAAACAATATTTTACGAAATTAAAAAAGGAAAAAAATAAACTATGAGTGACTACTCTGCTTCTGCTAGTGGTGGCCTCCAGTGATTTCTCGTCATCTTCTAAGAAATCCATCAGCAATTGAGCTTCAACTGTACAGACAGATTAAACTTCCCTTCTAACAAACCTTTTCTTTACAACCAAAGCATGAAAATATGTCCAGGTCACCTTGGGTACAAGTTTCCAACGGCCGAAAACCACAGTGCACAGACTGCATATGCAGTGCTTTGAACAGAAATATGGTTCAGCAAACTTCATTTGGGCTTTGAGATGAACTATCACCATCCATGGGGAAGTGCAAACTCTCGTGCTTTTTCGTGCATACTCATCCGCCAATTGGTCCATAATTCTGGCGCAGCTAGAGCATCAAGGAGACTTTTGCACCATCATCTGTTTCCTCAGCCCTATTATAACTATGTAATTCATATAGCTGAAAGCCACTTTAAATTTCTTCAAAAATAAGAAGACTGATCGTGAAGCACATCCAAGTGAGCAAGTACCCTGGCTGAAAGAGACTTCATACTACTGTTGCCCCGCTGTGTTAAGTCAACCAAAGGCATCTGAGCAGATTTCCCATACTTTTGTTTGAACTCTGGTAGTCGGAAAATCCTTTCTATAGCATGCAGAGCCTTTTCCTGCAGTCTGGGAGAAGAGGAACTCAGAAATCTTATCATCCGGTCTATGGCATTAGCTTCTTCAAGCACCTTACTGCCACTTTGAAGTTTTGTACCTTCAATTAAAGTCAGTACTGCATCTAAAGAAGCCTCACAGGCTCCAGGATCTGATTCTTCAAGAACCCTCACAAGTGGTGCAACTGCACCAGCCTCCAAAAGGCAAAAGGATGTTTCAACGGCACAGAATCCTCCATGAACCCTGCAGCCAGTTTCTGGTGGAGCCGAGAAACACCAGAAACCCTGGCGCTTTGGTATTGAACGGGTCAGCCGAAGTGAATTTTCTGAAAACCGAGCAAGAGAAATGGCTGCATGTTTTTTTGTCACGCTGGTTCCAAATTCCAGCAACTGAACCAATATGGGAATAACACCAGCTTCGGCTGCTCTCTTTTGCCACTCCAAGTTTGTCGGAGAAGTGAAATGCCGTATGGCTCCAACAGCATTTTCAACTAACTGACTTTTATTTGGATCAATTTGCCTGCCATTTTTCAAAGAATTCACAATTATTGAAAGTGCCTTCACGTCCAAAAGCCACTGAGTGAACTGGGACACTTCTGGAAGGTTAGAGATAATTCCCATTGCAAAGGCAATCTCTTCCTCATTGTCCGAAGATTGTATGATCTTGACTAAGGACTCGATGCATTTCTGACCAACATGCTCCAGGATTATAGCTTCATCACCATCATCTACCAAGCAGCAGAACAATTTCACAGCATTTGGTCGGATATTTTGGTCATCATGCTCACATAGCTGAACTAGTATTTGAATAGCTGAACACTGCTTCATGCCATTAAAACCAGTTAGTATTTATCCAATGATATTCTACAGAACTGATCATATAAAGAAAGTTAAAGCACGTAGAAGATATTCAGATGCGGTATGGGGCTCAAAACAAAAAATAAAATGATAATATATTACTAGGAGTCATCAAAAGTAGTCAATAAGGATCCCTACAATACAAAACACTGCCAATATTCATAATTCTTTTTAGTATTGAGAAGATAGAAGGACTTGACATATGCAGTATTCCAGTTTGTAAAGTAAAAAAGAAAGATGCCCAATGAAATGGTGCTTATGTATGAAACTGGCCCTTCTAGCTTCTCCCTCTGTCTTTTCCTGAAGATCTATCCGCAATCTTAAGAGTAGTGGGAAATGCTAACACCCTATCACTAGATTAAAATCTTCAGGAGCCAGATTTCGGATAAGTATAAAAAAGCTTTAATTGATTATACCAGGAACCACAGAACATACATTTGGTCTAAAATAAGTAGTCTGTAGACTAACAAATAATACTTCAATACAAACTTTACTCCATCTAACTTCAACTTGCAATCCATAAATTAGAGCAATTAACATTTGTCAGTATATAACAATTGCGCCCAACAAGAGACAACAGTTATTTCCTTCTGGATATGGAACACATACACAAACACAGAGCTCACAAGCACCTATGCACACACACATCTTCCACCATAAGAGATACCTGTATTAACATGGTCTTGATATTTCTTGCAGAGGGAGACTGACACAAGGCATTGAAGGTTTGGAGAATCCTTTGTTGCACATCAGGCCCTGTCAAATTTATCAAAGAGAATAGCATAAAAGTATCTTCATTGGATTCCAATAGTGACACAGGTGTCTGGCTGGATTCTTGAGACATTGTTGATACAGCAAGGTGCATAATAGTGGCCGCTGCGTGCTCACGCAAGCTTGAGGATGATGAGCTGTGACGGAGAAGGAGATCAAGCAATGGGCCCACTGCACCTTCTTTTATCATCTTCAATCCATTTTTAGGTACACTTGAAAGGTTCCGAAGAGCTCTAACAGCCCCTTTTTTCATTTGAATGTCACCATGAGAGACCAACTGAAGAAGTGGACCCAGTACTTCTCCTTCAAGCAAAGATGTTTTATGGTGATCAGTCAACTCCATTTCAGCTAACGTTGTTGCCATGAGCATTTTAACATCTTCAGGACCTGCACAAACAATGAACCAGTGACATTGAAACATGAGTAAAAAATTTTTGCGTATGAAATTGATCTGACAATTAAGTCATTAGATTACCCTCAACCTTTAAATCGTTTGTCATTATACTCTAAAAAGATTACAAGTGATGATTTAATTGGAGGCAAATGCTTCAGCACTAAATCCATCTTATAATCTAGACTACCATTATTCAAGTGGAAAGAAACTTTCAATCTTAAAAGTTCAAAGTTGAACAATCCCACATATTTTGCAGGCTAATGTTACATTTGGTTGCAAAAACCTCAGAAAACATAAGTGGTTACCTACCCTAAGCAGCTATTAAATTTGCACTGGGGACTTGCCTAATTTCCAACAGAAAATAAATAAAAAACTATTCAAAAGAAAATAACAGTACAAAGGCCACTCATGAAAAACTAAATTGACTGAAGTTGACAAAGAAGCTAAAAGGTCATGTGAAAAAAAAAAAAAAAAAGACCTGTTGAGAGTCGCTGCAGCAAATGTTTAAAATAATTTGCCTTTGCCATCTGAACCACATTTTGGTCAGAGAATGAGAGATTCTCCAATAGCTCCTGTGCATCTCTGGAAGCTTGACTATCATCACTACTTGACATTGTCACCAGGAGAAGAATGCAGCCCTGAACTTTGCCAATGCAGTCTCGTAACGCATCATAATGTGATAATTCCAATAATAATGCAACTGCTAATTTTCTTTCCTCAATACGGCGTCCAAGAGATCGAACAATACATTCAATTGCATTATCAGCTTTTGCTAGTCTTTCCTGCAGCATGTTTTCAGTTATTAGAGAAAATAAAATCTAAGAAAGTGATCAGCACTTTTGCTAAGTACAATCATATACACATCAGAATTGCAAATTATCACAGTTAGCAAAAGCAGCCTGTATATCAGGAGTATCCTAGACCAAAGTAGACAAAATTAGCATTGTCAGTATGATGAGCATTGAAATAAAGTATGATCCTAGAAAAATAAAATTCAGTCATTTTTTTTTTCTTCTAAGTTTCTATTAACAATTGTAACATAAATTGTACAAATTAGTATACCTACCTCACGTTACCCATTAGACAGATAAATTCACATGTGAGGAGAGAGCAAGAAAATACAAACATTTGTATCAATGCAAAGATAAAGATATTCTAAGTAAACATGTCCAGACTATCTAACAAATTTAAAAAAAACTCGTGAAAACACTTAATGACATATTGACCTTGACACTAAACAAAGTTTTGCAAAGCAACATTCTCACTCCTTGTTACAAAGTCAAACCACAGAAACAAAAAAAAAAAAAAAAGAGTAGTTTAAGTTAGGTACCTTTGCATCATCACTATACTTTGCTAAAATGCGAAGGATGACAAGAGTTTGATTCCTTACATCACGATCTTTAGAACCAAGTAAATTAATAAGACTTGGTATGTAGTTCTCCAAAATTATCCATTCCCGATGCTGGTCTCTTTGTTGACAGAGATCCTGTAGCTGTTCCAGGCAATGAAGCACTTCTCCCACTTCTTCGGACATCAGTTTTGATTTCATAGAAGCGATTGTAATCATGGTGTTTCTATCCTTCCATTCTTCAATTGACTGCCTCAAAGTTTTGTTTGGCCGAAGAATTGATGTATCTAGAACGGTCATGGTTAGGGGGCACAATTTGTTCCCATCTGAAAACCATTTTTCTATTGCTCTTCTCTCAAATGTCTGTCCTGACGAAGTCTCCACAGGGTCCACCATAACATCCCGAGTGATTGGGCAATAAAAAGATTGGAGAGGTTCTAAAGGCTGACTACCCAAAGACTTCCGCTTGGAAAAATACTTTATCTCTTTCTCCCTTGGGGATGAAGCAGCATCTGCTCTTTCTAACAAAGCAATAATCTGATCCATTTGTATAGCCTCAGCTTGATCCTTCCTCAGTCGGGCATTTTCAATCTCACTCTTAAATTCATTGAGCTCCTTCTTCAATGCTGACCTCTCAGTTGAGATACCAACAGCATCTGCTATGAGAGACAGTAAATGATTGGCATAAGAACGATCAATGTTCCTGTCCTGTATTCCTGATTCAACTTTCTCCAGAATTTCTTCTTCTGCTATAGCTGCCCTAAACTCAGCTGTCTGCATATTCTCACAGAGCTTTCCAATTTCTACAATTATACCTGTTGAAAGATCTAGAGAGGCTAAAGGAATAAGACTGAGTGCACGGCTGATTTCTCTAGTTGCATCCTCTAAGCGCTTAACTATTGCTCGACAATTCATCAATTGATACACTTTGTTTTTCTTGCTGCATTCCATCGTAAGTTGTTTTGCAGCTTTTATTTCTCGATTAAGAATCTCTATCGCATTGTTTAAGCTCTCAGAATTACCAAGATCTTTTTTATTCAGCTCTTTCAAGACTGGGACAATCCTTTTTAAATAAGTCGAAACTTCAATAAAACTCTCCTTGTTAACGAAGACATTGTTGGCAGCAACCACCATCTCAAGGATGGCCTCTATAATCTGAGAAAGGACTTCTGAAGCTGGAACAGCGGAGGCACTAGTAACCACATCTAGTGCCATAATGTTACAACCCAACTAAGTCTAGGAAGCAAAACGCTCTTTTCCCATTTATAACTGACTAGAAAGGATGCAAGGCAATAGTCTGAGCATTTTTACTGAGAACAGCTTAGATGCCTAAACCACCTTCAAGCTTTTCACAAAATATGCCTACACTGATTTCCAATTTGAAATAAAACTGTCAGCTATGAGCTTATAACTTTCAACTTCATGCTAATTATATATTCAAAATTAAACTCATATACTAATGGAACTACGCCATCAATTAGTTGCAAAGAACATGGTGGAATAGGGAAAACAAATAACTGAATGTCAAGACATTAAATGTTGAAGACAAAAAAAATTAAGAGTCTAAGATTCTACATTATTTGATAACCATTAAAACTGGTAACCCGCTATGCCGAATACTGTTTTGGGCCTAATTATTCATTTTAATAAAAAATAAAAATAAAAACCCAAAGCAAAAAAATATTAGCTTTTTCTTTTCCAGAACTATCTGACAGTACAAAAGACTATCTGACAGTACAAAAGACATCTGAATCAAATTTCTAAAAAATTTAAAAATTCAAATCAGCCGTGCCCAGATAATCTTTTATGTTGTTTTTTTTTTTTTTTAAATAAAATAAAATCCAAATCTAACATCAAGTAAAAATTGTTGTTCTTTTCCTGTATTTTCTCCTCAGCTAAGCAGCATCGGTAGCTTCAATAGAGTCCAACAACACAAACAGTGTATAAACGGTCAATTTGAATCTAAATTCAACATATGAGATCATAAAATCAAAAGTTCCAATTTTCTTTCTTCAAAATGCAACTTGCAAAACCAAACCAGAACAGAAGCGAAGACCAAAATGGTCAACAGAGTCCCAATAAGTTGAATTGTATTAAAACAAGAGCTTCTGACAATATAGGAGAAAGAGGGATACCTGAAACAATGAGTTAATGTCCGTGAAAAATCCCTGTACGACCGCCCGCTTCAGATGATATACCAAATTGTTTTTCCGGGAAAAAAAAAAATATCCCGATCAGCACGAGCCTTTGAGCAATCGCCGGACCAGAGAGACCCGAATAAACTAAACTAAACTAGAAGTCTAGGAAGAAATATAAAATTGACATAAAAGTATTTAATGTTTTTCAACTAAATTTAATTTATTTGTTGATTCTGCACAACTTGTCTTAAGACAGTAAAGACTCTTTCCCAAGTCTTGGCCCTGCGCTGTTCAAAGGGATTTTTTCATGTCCCTTTTTTGACCTGTGTAATAGATAACATAAGTGACTTCCCCTTACAAAAATACATATAAAAAAACCAATGGATCTTGTATAAATAACTACCTTGTCCTGAAAGAAGCAGGAGCACAAATTTTGTAACTGGCTCTTTCTTTTATTTTTTATTTATATATATATATATATATTGTCTGCAGTGTGTTGTCAGTTTGTGTGATGGTGTGCATCCTTCATTCTTTAAAGCTTTCAACAACCAAATGCCGAATGTTGAAATTTTATTCAGGGTAAACAAGATGAAGTAGGGACTTCTTAAATTGACTTGCATTATTGTAAATTAGTCTTTATGTGAAGTGGTACTATTGCTATTTTTTATTAGTGAGGCATTTAAGTTTGCGACATAAACATCATTAATATATACCTAATCTCCTTAATCAATATTTTGCATTATTATGGTAGAATCTCTTATTATAAAAAATTAAGGGTAATGTTATCTATATAAATAAAGAGAGTTTATACAAACTAATATGATATATCACAAAATATGTTATATAGTATTAGAATTTACATAATTTAATGTTATATGTAGACCCTTATATGATACTGATATCTCAAAGTTATTTTATACAAACTCTTTTTATCCAAAAATTAATACAGCTGTCCATATGGAAATTAAATTGTTCGTGTACCACGAAGCAAGAGCGGTAAAAGGGTATCTGTTTAATTTTTTATGCGGCTCTTTCCAGCAGTGACTTTACACGTTTATCGTAGACTGTATACATGTCAGATAGTGAATGAACGTTACAGTGCAGTGCAGTGCAGTGCAGGGCCACTGGGCCAGGCGCCCAGAAATGACTGGGTGGGTTACTAATTTGAAGGAGGGCCTTAGGTTGAAATTTTAGAACAATTGACACAGGTCAAAATGCCCCAGAACAGAAACACGCGGACTGGAAAAATAGTATCCAAGATGGCTGAGTCTTCACTATATTCCACAAGCGAATTGACTTGTTCAACGTGGAAATGAAAGTCTCAACTCAAGTCTGTTTCATCATATATAATATCAGTAACATTTCGTTATTAAAATTTAGTCCTATTTCACAAGACAAGACAAGAAAGATGGTATCATGGTATACGTGTACATTGATGTTAAGGGAGGACAGCTAATCAAAAGGTACATGTATCATTCCTCAGATAATAATGAAATGAAAAGTTTACTTGTAACAATTTATTATTAACGTGTTTACTCTTTCAAATGTTCAACAGGCAAGTCCTGATCAACAATTTTAGGATTAGTTAAAATACGTATAAATTGATTCAGACACATTCGGATACCCAAAAAAAAATATCCTAACCAACAGTATAGTTGAATTTGATAAATTAGATATCTAAACGGTTTTGAGATCATAAGGCATCGTATCCCCCATAAAAATGAATAGCCAGTTGGACTGTTGAATAATTTTAGGAAACAATGACTTAGTTTCAGAAATTAGTCTATGGCCACAATTGCGGCAATCCATTGTTTCTGAGGTAAAGTCGGTCAAACATTTCCTAGGAATGTTCATAACTGCAAAAAGAACCAACAATCTGATATGGACAAATGCATGAAGTCGAGTGTTTACTTGGAGGTTACCTGAATCCACAGCAAAATTGTCCTTTGCTCCATTTCGTTTTAATCATAATTTTCAGCAATTCAAACAGTTGCATTGTGAACAATCATAGCCGTTCCCACTAAATAAAAATAAAGCAACTTAATTTTGGAGAAACAATGACGCGTTTTATGTAAGTTGGCAAAAGCTTCAGAAAATCTAATAAACCACTGCTGCAGTCAATGCCAATCAACTTTCCATTGTCAGCAAAACGTCTGCTGTGTGTCTGCAATAATATATCTCCAACAGAATCTCCCTTCTAAATACGTCTCCGTCAAACTACGGTGAGCTACCACTACTCACCACTTCTCCTCTTGGTTCGTTGATTAAGTCCCTCATGACGAAATCTTGACACCTCAAAAAGGGCAATTCGAATGTCCACACAATTCAAGTCTGCACTCAATTACTTCACATAATTTGGATCTAAATGCTCAGTCATCAATCCAAATCGTCTTAGAAGTCTTTCTTTGAATGTCGTTCCAAATGCCGAAATTGAGGGCCGGGTGTAGGCATTTTCCAACTTTCTCCAGATGTGCAATTTACCATGAGCCCAAAGCTTATGTCTAAGTAGCATTCTCTACCAATAATCTATCCAGAGTATCAACCCCATTATCCAGAGTACCAATGATCCTAGTCAAGAAAAAATCCCAAGAATCACTGTCAACGTCTCCACTAGCCATTGCCATAGACACAACCTTACTAACCTCTCCTTCCTTTCCTGACTCAAAAAGACCCTCGATCAATAAAGAAAAAGTCGATTTATTGGGTAAGCATTTTTTATCCAACATTTCCTCTAAAACCCTAATCCCCTCCTTTGCATTACCGATCTTACAAAACCCTTTTATCAAAATGTTGTAAGTAAAAGCGTTCGGCTCGTGCCCTTTCTCCTCCATGTCATCCCACAGCCTGCCTGCCTCGGTCAATTCCCCATTCTCACACAATCCTGCAATCAACGTATTATACGTTAACAAACTCGGAATCGAACCTCTTTCAAACTCATCGAATAACTTCTTGGCCTCCCAAATTTTCCCTTCTTTACAAAGCCAATGAATAAGTGTACTTGAAATGGCATTATCCGGCATACAGTTCTTCTTTAAAAGCCTTTTCCACAACTCACAAGCATCTTCAACCTTCCTCTCCTCACACAGCAAATCAATTACCTTACAACAGAGGGATGAACTCGGCACATACTTTCTCTCAAGCATATCATCAAGCAAGTTACGTGCTTCACCGGATTTTTTTCCCTTACAGAGACCTTCAATCATAACCCCATAAGTAACATCATTAGGCTCAACACCGTTATCTTCCATATCATCCATTACCTTAACAGCATCAATTAATCGCTCTTGCTTAATATATCCATCCATTAAAACTGTATAAGTCGTCGCATCAGGTGCCCACCCACGATCCAAAATCTCGGCAAAAACTCCCTTAGCACCATCAATATCTCCTCTCCAAACAAACCCTCCTAAAATCGTGGTATATGTCACCACATTAGGTACCATCCCCATTGATGGCATTTCATCTAAAACCTTAATCGCGCCCTCAACGTCATTTTTCTTACAAAGCGCTTTAATCAGAATGTTACAAGTAAACACGTTGGGAACAACGTTAAACTTGTTCTTACAATTCTTGAACATTAAATGAACCAAATCGTACCGCTTATTTTGCACTAAAGCGTTTAACAATGTATTTAACGACCTCACCGAACGTTGGACGTTAAACTTTTTTATGCGTAAGAATGCTTTTACAGCTAATTCAGGACGGGAAGCTAGTCCGTAACTACGAATTACATCGATGAATAAATTTTCACCGCATTTAATTTCTGGTTTTTGTTGTAATTCTGAGAGGAGAGATTCGACGGCGTCAAAGGCACGAGCACGAGAGAGTTTGTATATGATTGAGTGGTATGTATCGTAAGTATGGGAAAAGTTGGGATGGAATTTGCCGGCGTAGACGAATATTTGTAGGGCAAGATCGAGATTTTGTTGTCGGGAGATCATGGAGACTAGGCGTTTGGGGTAGAGGCGTTGAGGCCAGGGTTTGATTGGTGGTGTCACGGTGGAAAGCGAATGACGAGCGGTCCGCATGGAGTGGACGGGGGAGGTGATTGTGATCTTGAAGAAGTGGTTACGCAACATCTCACCACCACTTTTGGGAGATGTGGTTACTTCTCAAGTTACTGAATTTAAGGGGTTATTAAGAAGACGTAAAGGGGAAAGGAGACTTGTAGCATAGGATAGAGTTAATATATACGACTATACAAAACTTAATGACATTTTCACACTCATGAGCTTTTAAAAATATTATTTTATTACTTAAATTTATATTTTAAGAATGAGCTAACGAGTCAGTTGGATTATAAGAAAGATTGATTTAATTGTTGATCAGATAGAAGGACATGCGGCTCTAAAAGTCAGATTGAGCTTTGAATTAGATACCTAACTTTGATTCATCTAACAGGATATACAAATTCAACTAGCTATATCAGAAATTCTCATTCAGCAGTAACGACATCAATTACAAATTTTTGCAGCAACTTATATGTTGCATTTGTTTTAAACAACAGAAGATGGAACTCTCTGGTCAACCAAATTCTTTATCTTCACCTTTGCAGCCCCACTAAACCTCTACACTCTCTTAGCAATCAAAAACAGTTCATCTTCCTCCATCTTCTTCACCGATGATACAAAAACAACTCTAGTCCCAATTAACTCATTGCAAATCCTCCCAAATTCCTCCAAAACCTCACTCACCATCCCTGCTTTATTCCTCTCAATAAGCATCCTCAATACACCCGCCAAGTATCTATTAATCTTCCCTGTATTGACCACTTCCTTCACAATTTCTCCCTTCTCTTTGTCACCCATAAGCGGTTCAATTAAGATAGCTTGAATTTTCTCATTCTTGAACAACCTTAATAATCTTTGTACGTCTTTCTGAACTGCTTCAAGTGAACCGTGGCATAGAGCTTTGTCAAGAAGAGCGGCGGCATAACCGCTGGCGGGTCTTCGATAGATATTAGGAGATACTGACTTGGGGAAGGAGGTCCCGGAGGAACTGATTAATGGAAAAGTAAGGTTCTTGTGAGGGAAGGAACTGGTGGTTTTGTTGGGTTTAGTTGTTGAAGAGATGTGGGAATGGTGTTGATGGAGTTGGTGAGATACGGGGGGAGCTTTGAAGTGATATAATTCACGAGGTGTTGCGTGCAGAACCGGGACTTTGAGAGTTGAAACAGAGCTTGAAAGAGTATCCATGGAGATTATCAGAGCACATACAGAAAACCAATCTTTTTGCTTGGGGGAGAAAATCTGGAATTTTGTTTTTTTTGTTTTTTGCAGCACGGAAAGATGTGGTTGAATTCCAGCCAGCGAACCGAAGTATACATCATTAGAAATCTTGATTTAATATTGAAGGAAAAAATGAGAAACCTTTTTTAAATAACAGAAATACTATACTTACTCACGAGTTTTACTGATCGGTATATTATCTTTGTTAAAATTATACATAATATTGATACTATACTTATAATATCTATACTATACGATATTTACAAAAGATAATAAGATGGTGAGTAACCATAGCATTACTCTTTAAATAAACATATTAAAATTTAAAAAAGATTTATTTCATATACAGTAATTTGGTAATTTTAATACACAATAGCAAAATAGTAATTAATTTAGACTCAAGCTATTATAGCATAAATTTTTGCTTAGATTAAAATAACTTATTGATCTTAAAAATAATTAGTTCTAACTTTTTATCCAAATCCATTTAATTTTATTGAATTAAAGACAAATAATTTTATTTTTTTTTTAATGACAGAAAGTGCCCAAACCAACTTAAGCGCACTTCAATTAATCTTTCGAGACCCTAAAACTATTAGTTGAATAAAAACTTCAATATCTATTCTTATTAACATTTGAAGAAGGATTCAAACTTAAGACCTCTTAAATAATACATTCAAAAATCTCTATCGAACTATTCAATTCAGTCAGAGATAGTTTAAATAATTTGTATTACAATTACTTAACCATTAAAAATAAATAAAAATTGACGAATAATAAAAAAAGATAATCCCTCCTCTTTGTTATAATTTAGGCAGGCCTACAACCGAAGCCCAATGAAAGTTTTCCGGCCTCACTCCAAATGGATTTGGGTCAGCGTGTTAATCTAATCTGTCAGCAGTTAAGCAACAGCAATAAGATTCACCTCAATCATTGACATGAGCAAATAATGTAAATGGTATGCCGATGTTCATGAATCGTGCCACTGCTAGGTTCATTTTGTGTGTGTTTTGGGTTCAGGTGGTTTACATGGAGCCAGACTGGACCATGATGGAAATCCACATAGAGATTTGCAGAGCCAGCAAAGGTCAATTGCACGGTGGCTCCCATTTGGCAATATCAGAAGCATTCCTTTCTCTTTCTGTCAAATGAAGTGTTTAAAAAGAAAAAGAAAAGAAAATGGCTGAATGTGAATGGCATTGCGAGTTGAAGTATAATTTTCTACATTTTACTTTCCTGCAACGGTGTAGGGTCCCTGGTGATTCACTGTAACAAATTCTGTCGGTGCAAACATTAGAAGGTCCACTTTTCCCATCTAAAGATAAATTAAATAAAGCTTTAGAAGTTTCAAATGTTGTTTATGTTATGGGTTCTCTCCCCCTCTTCTGTTGAACAATCATAGAACTTGCAGCCACCATGTTTGACATTAAAGCTAATAGCTGGAACCCATCGTTATAACAAATATTAATAGAAAAGGAAAACTAATAAATTTTGAATGTGATTTGTATTTCATAATTCATATATTGGTCATGGGAATAAATTGTTGCTTTACATTCCTTTCGTAAAATGGCTATCTCTGAACATTGAGACTTACTGATTAAGAGAATATAATGGCTGTCTCTTACCTCTCTTTTAAGAGTGATGCTATGGGTACTAATGGATGGGTACTAATCTGTGTACTAACTTATGCATAGTACTCGTACTATGTTTTAGTTAGTACACAGATTAGTACCCATATGTTAGTACCCAAAGTATTATTCCTCTTTTAATGCCAACTTGATTGATTAGTATGGGCAAGTCGCTGGACCAATCAGCTATCTACCAGTCGCTCTAATATTTTATTATCATACATGATATGATAACATGTAATGGATACAAATACAAATACAATATAGATAAGATTGATATAACATAAACCATATTAAAATGGCCGAACGACTTCCACCTACCCAAAGTTTGACATAGAGATAAATTGATACCCAGGTTTAAAAATAATAAACAAATACTTTCTGTCATATTCTGTTAGAGATTTATGTCTGCTAAAAGATAATATAGTAATTTCATCTACAATCACAAAATTTTTAAATTTTAAATCTTTTTCTCCGTATTCATTCTCACCCCAAGCCCGTTTGCACAGCCCTCTTGCATCATCGATTGATTTTTTGATCGGATTTAGTATTTTTCTGCTAAGTTCGTTGATAAACAGTGGCACTAGCTCTTGCTGGCGCGTGTTGGGAATGGAGATCAGTGGGTATTTCAGTCTTTTCACTATTTTTGTCTTTTAGTAGATATAAATTCCTAACAGAACATGACGGAAAGTAAGTGTTTGTCATTTCCAAACCTTTTGGATATCACTTTGTCTATACAACAAACTTTGGATATGTGTAAGTCGTTCCCCCTATTAAATAACTAGAAAATATGTTACTGATAAAATATTTAAATATTATTTAAGAAATAAAAATAGGAAGGTCTTGAAACTTGAAATGTCCATACTCCTCAACGGCATGACAAAATTCTACTATTCTGGAAAGTAGGATGCTGATCCCATGATTAAGTACCAACTCTTGTTACTTTATTACTTTTAAAACCGCTTTAAACCTTTGATTAAGCCATGAATTAAGACACGAGTATTTTTTTCCGCGTAATTCCAAATCCAAATTAATTCCCACTAACCAAAAATGCTCGGACTGAGGCCCCCCAATTTTTTTTGAACTAAAAAGTTAATTTATAAATTAATAAATTATCATTGCATGGTAACCTCCATGATAATGCTTTGAAATAGGAAAAGGACTGAACCACAACCTCTCTTTTTCACCATTCACCGGTCACTGAAATGAAATAGGAAACATTTTCCTTATTATAATTTTATTTAACTTTATATATTTTACATTTTTTTTCTTTTTATTGTAGATTAACAATTACTATAAATTAATGTTACTATGGTATATTTTTCTCGCATTTACTGCTCAGAAAGTAGAGACCACCCTTGAAACAAATTTTGTCTGCCAATCCTTTTTCAATCTTTCTTCTGACCCTTTACTTACTCCCACTTACCACCAAGCTAACACTAAAGGCCAAGACAGTAGAGTGGAAGAAAAGAAAGTAGATTCAAGAGAGTTCAGGTAGCTTGCTTCGTGTTCTAGGTTAACTCTGAGTTTGTGCAGTGAAAATGAATCAAGAGATGAATGGTGATCATGGGACTGAGAATCACCATCATCAACAGAATAATATTCTTCATGAGAAAATAGACTATGTGTTTAAGGTGGTGGTAATCGGAGACTCGGCGGTGGGAAAGACTCAGATACTGTCAAGGTTTACCAAGAATGAGTTTAGCTTCGACTCTAAATCAACAATTGGTGTTGAGTTCCAAACTAGGACTGTCACTATTAAAGGGAAGCTCATCAAAGCTCAGATCTGGGACACTGCTGGCCAGGAAAGGTTTTTCCTTCCATCCTTCTCTGTCTCTTCCCCTAAATTCCTGAGTATTTTTTTTATTATTGTTATTATTATTTTTCCTTGAATCCTCAACTATTGCTTAGATTTTAAATGTGAGTGATTCTAAGGTCTTAACAGGAAGTAATCAGTTTAACAGAAAATGGAGTCGAATTGTTGTGGAATTCATCTGGCCAANGAGACTCGGCGGTGGGAAAGACTCAGATACTGTCAAGGTTTACCAAGAATGAGTTTAGCTTCGACTCTAAATCAACAATTGGTGTTGAGTTCCAAACTAGGACTGTCACTATCAAAGGGAAGCTCATCAAAGCTCAGATCTGGGACACTGCTGGCCAGGAAAGGTTTTTTCTTCCATCCTTCTCTGTCTCTTCCCCTAAATTCCTGAGTATTTTTTTTTATTATTGTTATTATTATTTTTCCTTGAATCCTCAACTATTGCTTAGATTTTAAATGTGAGTGATTCTAAGGTCTTAACAGGAAGTAATCAGTTTAACAGAAAATGGAGTCGAATTGTTGTGGAATTCATCTGGCCAATTACCAATAAACCAAAGACATTTCTGTGAAATTGACCATCTTTTTAACATTTTTCCTAACACAGCTTAATCTTATCAGAGATCAGAGATGCCAGCATAACAAGTCAAAACCAATGTATAAAAGTCATTAAAAAAATCATCAATTAGATTAATTATTAAGAAAATAAGAAAATATTTTTATATTTTTATATCTTTATTTTTTTGTTTTTTCGCCTTTGTTAGTATATTGTCAATATAAATTTCTGTATTAGATAAATATTTGACATTTGGTTTCAATATCGAATTTAATTGCATAGTTTGTGTGTAATAGATACCGGGCTGTGACAAGTGCATACTACAGAGGTGCACTAGGAGCAATGCTAGTTTATGATATAACAAAAAGGCAGTCATTTGATCATGTTGCTCGGTGGGTGGAGGAACTCCGAGCCCATGCTGATAATTCCATTAGAATCATACTCATTGGAAACAAGTCAGATCTTGTAGACCTTCGAGCAGTTCCAACAGAAGATGCAGTTGAATTTGCTGAGGATCAAGGGTTGTTTTTCTCAGAGACATCTGCACTTAATGGGGACAATGTTGAAACTGCTTTCCTTAGACTACTAGAAGAAATTTATAGCGTGGTTTCTAAGAAGGAATTGGAATGTAGCAATGACAAAACTGATGCAGCCATGCTTAAAGGTTCCAAGATTGATGTTATATCTGGGCCTGAATTAGAAATTAGTGAGATGAAGAAATTATCCACTTGTTCTTGTGGATTTTAATTTCGAGGCGTCCCAGTGGCAATGTATGAGTCAGCTTCACTGTATATTTTTCTTTTTTGCTTGTCTTTTAAATGTCTTGTGCTTGTCTTCACATTTATACAAACGTTTTGAGTTTGGTAGTAGGAGTAACCAAGTGGGTCTTGGACATTCTTGGCCCAATTCTGTTTAGCATGACACCAATTCAGCCCAAAGTTTGAGCTGACAGCCTATCGAGTATTATTTCATTTTTTTATTTTTTAAAATTTGATACAAAGTGTGTGTTGATTACGTTGGATTGTCTTTCAAATGTGAAGATATAATTTTTAATAATGAGAATGAAGTTTAAAAAGGGTGCCAAGTCAAGTGTGTGTTGATTACGTTGGATTATCTTTAAAATGTGAAGATATAATTTTTAATGATGAGAATGAAGTTTAAAAAGGGTGTCAAGTCAAGAGCATAATTTGGGGTAGAATAGGCCTAACAAGGATGTAATTTAAGTCATCGACATCATTGAAACGAATAAAAATCAAAATTGATTAGCTTTATCTGTTTCATGTTAAAGCTTTGGGGCCTAGTTGTCTCTCTAAAGTAATGGGGGGGTGCTTTCTGCTTTATATGTTTCGCTTTTTTGATTAATTACCGCGTAATCTTGATAAATGGACAGAATACCCCACTTGAGTAACTTATAATGCATTGATGAAGGAGTCGTTAGGTCTGTAAATAATGATTGGTTCTCTTTCGCTTCTTTCTTATCAAAACAAATATAAAATGCAAAGTGTTTCCATCATGAAAGAAGCGATACCATCAGACAACCTAACTCAAGACAGCTTTTTCAAACCGAAAAATGAAGAAAAAAAAAAAATTATATTCTTAAATCATTTTCTTCACTTCAATTATATCTTGTTAACTGATACAACTATGATGTTTGTTGGAGTAGTGCTCTGTCTCTCGTCCTTCAAACCAAACCAACAATTATTATTTATATAATTGAATTATTTTTATTTTTTTCAATGACAAAAAAAAGAGAAGGTTTCTTGTAAGTACGTATAGAGTGGAGTCGAAGGTTCCCCATTGGGTAGGGATTAGGGAACCTTCTCATTCGTGCTTACGTGTATCGAATTATTATGCACGGTTCCGAACATGTTCTGGGATTGATTTCATCATTCATGTTCACAAGTATAGTAATTGAGATTACTTTATAGATTAATTTATATATAATGACTCATTTCAGGCAGGTATGTGCGTTAGGGGTCATTATTAAGGCAGTGCAGTTGGGAACCCACAGGCTGCTGGCTTTGAGCTCGTGAGGTGGTGGGGCATGTCTAGAGTGGCAGAAAAATTCAGTTATTCATGCTATTGCTAGCTATACGCTTGTACAACTTGCTCAATCTCTTTTCTAACACCAACTTGATCCAGTATATCAACTGGACCAACCAATTTCATTCATAATCAAAATATAGGCCTTTTTCATAATTTAATTTTAGTAAGTAAATTGACCATATTTGTCCAATACAATCTCCCAAATGTTGTTGATAGTGGGACATTATGAAGGTCAGGTAATGTCTCTGCCATTTTTGACAGGTAATAAAATTATCCATCGACAGCTAGTAACATCCAAAAACCAGAATTTATGAAACGCTAATCCCGTATTTATTTTACAATTAAATGAGCGTCTCTCACAAGGTTGGGTTATTTCATTTGCCGACGGGGGGTTGATTCTAAACGCCTAAACTCCAAAGACTAAAGAAACGTGACCAAAACAAGAGGAGTGAAATGATCATCAATAATGATGAGATGAAGAAAAATGTTGGATCTTCTTTACATTTCACATCAGAAAAGGTCGAGCATCACACCATAAATGAGGAAAAAACACCCATTTCCATACTTAAATCACAGTTCTGTTTTTGTTGATACGTGCCTCTGCCGAGTCCTCATTTGCAAAAAGCCAGCACAGTTCTCTATTTTCAGGCCCGTCAGTATCGCCATCTAACAACAAAACAAAATTACCCAGTTCCATCTTTTTAAGATATCCCAGTCCCAGCGTATCTCCATGAAGATTTTATTTCTTTTCAATCTCACTTTTACATAATCAAATTCAGTGTTAATGTAAAATTTACATGTAATATAAGGCTAATTCTACAACCAAAAACTCGTCAAAAAGAAACTGCTTTTTTGGAAGTGCTTTCCATATTAAGCATAAACCATTAATGTTACGCTGTTAAGGCCAAAAAAATTGAATACAGAATAATAATTACAACAAAATCTATTTCTGAATATTAGCTACCAACAAAACATTAAAGCAACAAGGACAGAATATCAACTATATGCTAAACTTTTGCCCTGTATAATTCTCCCCCTTTTGCCAGAGCATCATTGGATACATTTCATCCACATTTCTCGATTTACAATTGACAATTGAAACACGTGACCCCAAATATCCACCGCATGATCAGCCTTCCTTTTGCCCATCAGACAAATCACACGATTGAGCTTTTCTACTGCTCTTAATCCTTAACAAACCGTACAACTTTTTAAATTCCTTCACAGTATTTTCCCTAAACATCGAACTAGAATCACCCGTTTCATCCAATGATTTCCTCGACCAACTATCATACAATCGCCGTCCGATATTGGAAGACCCCCTGCCATCACCGTCTGTTTGCAAAGCCGTGATTACCGATTTCAGGGCTCGACTAGGCGAGTTTCTGTTGGCTATCATCAACTCACCAATCTCTGCTGGACTTAAACTTGCCCCACTTTGAAAAACCTCCTCTACTTGGGGAAACAATTTATGATCTTTAAGTCCCAAATAACTATTTGCTAATGTTTTAAAAGCTGAGAAATCACATAATGGAAAATGAATGTGAACATCTATGCGTCCAGGCCGAAGCATAGCCGGGTCGATAAGCTCTTTACCGTTCATTGTAAAGACCATAACTCTTTCTTCCAGACAGCAAGAATTTAATATTCCGTCCATAAAGTTTAATACCCCAGATAAGCTCACCGCCGTTGATTTATTAGCCAAAAACCGATCAAGATCCTCGATTAGGATCACAGACTTGCTTTTTGTTTGCAACAAAAGCATTTTGAGATCTGAATCATCTGAGACTCTTGAAAGATCGATGTCGTACACATCGTAGCATAAAAATTTAGCCATGGCTGCCACAAAGCTTGATTTTCCTGTACCTGAAGGACCGTATAACAGGAAACTTCGTTTCCAAACACGGCCTAGTCGATGATAGAATTGTTTGGCTTTAAGGAATGACTCAAGATCAGATTTTACCTTGTTTTTGAGATCAGACTCCATGGCAATCGTCTCGAAAGTTGAAGGGTGAGTGAAGGGGATAGATCTCCACCGTCCCTCTTGGCTATGATGATTTTGGATATTTACGTAGAGTCTCAAATCCTTCTTCTTCTGGTCGAGCTCATCGGATACAGTGTGTATGTGTTGGAGATAGGGACGCAGAATTCTTCGTTTATCAGCTTTTCTTACCTTCAAGACGAAGGTTCTGCAAGCATTTGTATCATTCTTTTCTTGGTTTATCCAAAAAACCCGAGCTCCAAGAAAATCATCTTCGATGATTTGGTTAGGATCGAGGCCGAGGATGATTTCGTTGGACTTTTTTCCGGTGAAAAGGTTGGTGAAATCTGAGTCTTCAATGGATGTTAAAGAATTTAAATAAACATAGACTTTGCGATACAGCTGATTCTCTTGCATGTTTTCGTTGAATTCTGGAACCTTGAAGAATTGATAAACATGAAAACAATCTTCGATCACTCTCCACCATTTCTTGGTAACGTATATCAACCCAGTTTTAAATAAAGCCACTCGAATAAAAAAACACAAACCAAAGACTGTTGAAACAAGAGACCAATCACAGAACCAGTATAAGGCAAAAAAAACCAGATTCAAGCAGCAGATAATAGAACATAAACAGCAGTTTTAAACCACATAATATGAAGCAAAATAAAGATGAAAAAAGAGAGACAGAGATTTATAGTGGTTCGGTAATCTTATAGATTACTACGTCCACTCTTCAGGGCAGTAAGAAAGTTTTCACTATGAGAATAAAGAGATTCTTACAGAGATACGCTCACCCTTTACACAGTGTATACCCCTCTGAAACCCAGATCTCGTACACCCTCATAAACACACCCAATAACAAGCATTAGTAAAACTATTTATACAGAAGAACAAAGAACCAGAAAAAAAAAACCAGCTAAGACCTACCACAACCGTAGATTCAATCAACGCTGTTCGAAACCTCAGCGCATCCTCATCTTGCAACAAACTTTCTCTCTCTGTTAACCAAGAGAGAAAGTTCCAGACCAAACGAAATGAACACAAAAAAACTAAGAAATTAGGTTTATTGAAGGCTGGAGTTTTACGGAACTGCCCTTAGCTTTTGGCAAAACACCTTTGACTGCCCTTTTCAAACTTTGTTCCACATGGCATAAATCAATGCCACCTCAACAACAAATTCCACCTTGGCACTTGATTATTGCCCTCACTTACTGCCCTGGAAATTCCTTCTACTTTTCTTCAATGTGAAGATGGCTCTTAAAGAGCCTTAACTTTTCCAAAACAACAGACTTGGTAAAACTGTTGCAGGGTTTTCACGACAGGAACTTCTCCACCTGATGCTTTATCTTCAATCAAATTTATAAAATGCAACCTGACATCAATGTGTTTGATCTCTCATGAAACACTGATTTTTACATAAGAATATTGCACTTTGGCTGTCACTCTTGATTGGAACTGCTGCTGGTTCAAACCCATTTCTTCAAGCATTCCTTGAGCCACATTGCCTCTTTAACAGCCTCTGTAATGGAACGTTTATTGCTTCCGTAGTTGACAAAGTAACAATTGCCTGCAGGTTAGCTTTCCAAGAAACCAGATTATTCCAAAGAGAAAAACAGAAACCAGTCATGGATTTCTATTGTCAATATTTCCTGCATAATCAGCATCCACATATCCTACATGATATTTCCCTGATTTTGCTCCCTACTGTAAACAATACCAGTAGTATTGTACCCCCCCATACCTAAGCAACCATTTTACACGCTTCCCAATGATTCTTCCCAGGATTACTCATAAACTACTTACAGAACTAACTGCAAAGGCTAAATCAGGTCTAGTACAACCCATCACAATACATCAAGCTCCCTATTGCATTTGCATACGGAATACAGTTCTTTCCGCCTTTTTTCGTTTCTGGGCATTGAACTGAACTGAGTTAAAGTGCTGTCCTAAGGGTGTTTTGACAGGTTTGGAATTGCTCATATTAAACTTCCTGATAACTTTCCAGCATATTCCTTTTGTGACAAGATCAATTTTCCAATCTTTCTATCCCTTTCAATATTCATTCTAGGATTTTCTTAGTGCCCTAAGTCTTTATTTCAAATGTCTACTCATCTCTTCCTTAAACTTAGCAATTTCAGAAAGATCTTACAAGCAACAAGCATCATCTACATACAAAGTAGATAAATGTAGCACTCCCATACAAACAATTAAATAAAACAACCATCAAAGCTACTTCGAATAAATCCAGCATTCACCATAACCAGTCAATTTTATTTTACCACTGCCTAGGTGACTGCTTTAAACCATACAGCGATTTTTTTCAACAAACAAACCGGTTTGTAGACCCTTTTCAAACAATTCAGGCTGCTCCATCAGAATTCTTTCTTCTAAATCACCTTCAAGAAGGCAGTTTTGATGTCTAATTGTTCCAATTCTAAATCAAACTGAGCTACTAAGGCTAGGAGAATTTGATAGTGGTATGTCTCACAACTGGTGAGAAAATTTCATTATAACAATCCTTCAACCTGTGTAAAACCTTGGCTACCAAACTAGCTTTAAACCTAGGTGCTTCTACCCCTGGTATTCCCTCTTTCCTTTTGAAAACCCATTTACACTTAAAACACTCTACTGCCTTCAGGTTTGTTAACTAGGATCCAGGGCTGATTTTTGATAAAGAATCATATTCTCCTGCATGGCAAGTTTCCATTCCCTAGACTCTTACTAATCATGGCTTCCTTAACAGTCCTAGGCTCATCATCAATCTCTTCAGCAATTTGAAGAGCAAATGCTACCATGTCAGCATGTGAGTACTCCAGGTGGTCTAATTTCCCTTCTTTCCCTATCTCTAGCTAGTTGATAATTTTGCAAGTCATGTCCATCAGCATCATTATCACCATTTTCACCTAAGCTAGACTCTTCCTCTGGGTATGGGAATCTGAAACAGGATTGTTCAGACTTGAAAATTCTCCACCTAGATCCAGATTAAGACCTCTGTCTGTTGCATTGTTACTCTTTCCTGACCCAAAATACCAACAATCTTCATTAAATCGACATATCTCTACTAATGATACACTTTTTCCCTCCAATATCCCAACATTTAAACCTTAATGCCATCAGGATATCCCAGAAAAATGCATCTAATAGCCCTTGGTTGTAACTTATAGTTTTTTCATGAACAAAAACTGTGCAGCCAAAAAACCTAAGGTTACATAGTTTGCAGGATGCCCAGACCATTTTCCATGGGTGTTTTTAAACTAATAGCAGATGAGGGTATTCTATTAATAAGGTAAACTGCAGTGTGGGCAGCCTCTGCCCAGAACTTGGTGGGTAACTTGGAACAGGATAATAGGCTTCTAACCTTTCTAGGATAGTCCTATTCATCCTTTCAGCTAAACCATTCTGTGGGGTGTGTGCCTTACAGTCCTATGCTCAGAATCCCACTTCCCTACACAGATTATCAAAATCTTCATTTATGAATTCTAAGCCATTATCAGTTCTAAGTTTCCTAATTTTCTTCCAGTTTGGTTTTCAATCATGACTTTCCAATCTCTGAATTTCTAAATGCTTCTCCCCTAGCTTTCAAGAATAGACACCAGACCCTCCTAGAATAGTCATCTATTATGCTGATGAAATATCTAAACCTCCCAAAGATGGGTGTTTAGTAGGTCCCCAAACATCTGAATGGATATAGTCTAAATAGACTTAGAAAGTGGTTCCCACATAAATCTGATTCTGTTCATCTTCCCATAATACAGTGATCACAGAAAGCCAACTTCTATTTTATCTCCTCCAAGAGCCTTTTGCTTACCCAGCAACTAAACCTTTTTCACTAATGTTCCCTAATCTCCTATGCCATAAGGTTGTCTATTAGACTTTTGGGTTAAGGATACTGCTGCTGTTCCAGTAATAGTTGAACCATTAAGACATACAGCCCATTCCTCATCTCACCCTTCATCACAACTAAGGACCCTTTAGTTACTTAAGAACTCCACCTTGAGCTTTATAGCAATAGCCAATTGAATCAAGACTTCCTAGAGAAACTAAGTTTCTTTTTAGTCTGGTATGTATCTAACATCAGTAAGCCATTTTGAGCTTCCATCATGTAGATTCAGCCTTACATCTCCATTCCTAAGACTCTACAAGCTGCATTATTTCCCATCATACCTTTCCAGACTCAAGTTTCTTAAAGTTTGACAGAAAACTCCTGTTTGGAGTCATGTGGAAGAACACCAGAATCAAGTACCCATTCAGCATCAGTTTCATTTTCAGAAAAAAACTAACACATCAGAACTCTCAACCATCAGAAGCTATGTCTACAATTCCCTAGCATCCTTTTCCCCTGACTTTTTCTTCTATCAGGACAGTCCCTCTTAAAGTGACCTTCCTTATGACAGTGAAAACATTTCCTAGTGAACTAGACTTAGACCTTGATCTACCCCTGAATTCCCCTTCTTGTGGCCTTTCTTATCAGGTCTTCCTCTTCATAAAAACCCCTCACCATCTAGTTTTCCCTCTTTTAAATTCAGCATCCTTAGTAGTTATTGCTACCACTACTTCATCTAGTTTAAGGGTTTGCCTGCCATACTAAGGGTATCCACAAAATTAGAGAAAATTTTTGGAAGTGAGTTAATTAGGATTACGCTTGATCTTCATCCTAACCTTAACACTAAGCCCTTCTAGATCCTGTACCAGTTTCATAAAGTCATTCATGTTGTCTCTAATAATTTGTTTTCATCCATTTTAAAAATGAACAGCTTCTGTTTTAAAACTAGCCATTAGGAGAGGACTTTGACAGGTATAAAGAGTCTAGTTTTTCCCAAATTTCAAATGGTGATTCCATTTTCTTAACTTCCCTTAAGACCTTATCCCCTAAACCTAGAATTAGGGTACGAGGGCTTTATCTAAAAAGTCTTTCTTCCTTCTCAGACAAAGAGTCTGGTAAACTATCCTCACCTTTAAAGTGTCAGCTAAACACCCTTAACTAAGATAGCCTCATTTTCATCTTCCACAATCCATAATCATTATCCCCTGTGAATTTCTCCACCTCAAACTTAGACATATTCCTGGTTCCTATACTTCACAGATGCTTAGAGTAAAAAAGCCCAATTTTACCTAAGACTTAAACAGAAACCCTAACTTGCAACTGTTTTGAAAAAGAACTCAAATCTAAGCCTAGATGTTCCTGATTGCAAAAGATCTCTTAACCTAGAGAAAACCTAGGTGCTAGAATGATAACCTAGCTCTGATACACACTTGTTGAAACAAGAGACAATCACAGAACAGTATAAGGCAAAAAAAACCAGATTCAAGCAGCAGATAATAGTAACATATAATCAGCAGTTTTAAACCACAATATATGAAGCAAAATAAAGATGAAAAAAGAGAGACAGAGATTTATAGTGGTTCGGTAATCTTATAGATTACCTACGTCCACTCTTCAGGGCAGTAAGAAGTTTTCACTATGAGAATAAGAGATTCTTACAGAGTACGCTACACCTTTACACAGTGTATAACCCTCTGTAAACCCAGATCTGTACACTCTCATACACACACCCAATAACCAAGCATTAGTAAAACTATTTATACAGAAGAAC